TGATGTAGGGCAATACATCCTTGCGAAAAGACGGAAACACAGACCTAGTTCGAAAAATGCTACGTAAAGCAACTGATGGGAAACAACCGGAAACCGACTTGCTAACCTGATTAATTAAGCCCTGACCCCTATCTCCAATCCAGGGTATATATACTTGTTTGTTATTTTAGTGTGTTTCCCCCTCTTTTTGCTCTTCATTATCGTTAATATTCTTTTCACTAATCCAACGATTGTCTCCTGATGAGATGTTGGCTGAAAGGGCCCTAGAGACTTTTAAAATTAAAATCAATGCATTCCTTGTTTTTAAAACTATATATAAAGTTTGTACCTCCAAACATTTGTTTATATATATATACATATATACATAATTATTTATTTAAAAATTATAACATAAATATGTTATAAAATCACTACAAAAATAGCCATTTTGTTTCAACATCTTTGGTGTCTTATCAAGTGATGATGTTGAATGTAGATTGTAGAATGAAGGTTTTAAAAGGTTCAAATTAATTAACCGCCCCTCGTAAGGGGCAACGCTGTCACATGATCTGAAATGACCAATCAAAATACAAGTATACGAGAATTCCAAAAACTTGACAACGAAGTAAGGTTATAATAATTATTAAATGCTTTAAAGTTGGGTTTATACTAAAATAAAATTTATTCTAAGTAATAAGTATTAAATTGTACGATAAAGTTTGAAATTAAAATTAAAAACTACCCATGAAAAAAAAAAATTGTTGTTGGAACTTATTCCGTATACCAATCATACACTTGTATATATATATATATATATATATATATATATATATATATATATATATATATATATATATATGTGTGTGTGTGTGTGTGTGTGTGTGTGTGTGTGTGTTAAAAAAAAAAAACTTATCTTAGCCGAAACGTTTCGTCAAGGCAAATTTAAGAACGTTCGTAAATATTCATCAGGTTAGCCGAAATATCTAGGCAAGCTATGGAGCCTTCTTAAATTTAATCAATGCAATTTATCTGTATTTGAGGCCATAAAATTCTGTTCCAAATATTTAGATTTAGGTATTAAATAACGCATAGACCAACTTTTTGTGATTGAAAAAAAAATTACAGTAAAATAACTACTAATTTTACGTTCTAATGTTTTTCATTTCTTTACAGGTTACTTAAGATCAGAGCGGGTAAAGTTTGTGTCGATTTACCTTTTTAAAAATGTATTTGCATCAGACCCATATTAGACACTGTATGTTGTATAAATTCAAAAAGGTCTCTTCCAACAACGGAAGCGGAAATATTCTGTTCAATGAATTGAGACTTTAAGTATCCGGACATGTTAACTATTTTTTGATCTTCGTTCGGGATAAATTCTATCAATATGGAACTTCTACAAACTGCAACTGGGGAGAATCCTAAGCAAACTACACATGAATTTACATAAAAAAAGAGAAAAATATTGTTCAATACAAGCCAAAACCTATCATAATCTAACTTTAAGAACTCGGAAAGGTGCCTAAACATGGCCAATGGGTCCGTTATCATTTGACTACTTCTTAGCCTAATCAAAAAGTCATCCTCGGCACGTCATTGAATAGCAGACTACATATCGGGCCTTTGCTGTATATTGATATCACTAATGATGAAAAGTGGGTTCTCTATAATCATATCCAATAAAAATAGTTACCCTCCCCCACTACTGAATAAGGAGAATTCATTCCCAAACCAGGACTACACCCGAAAAAGTTATGTCCTTCTATCATGAAGCGTTAAAATTAATGTAGAGAAATATTGTCATCAGAAATACTGTTATTACGCACAAATCATTGGTTAATTGCAAGGGCAAGTTACTCTTGTACGTTATGCAAGAGAATATATTGCTCGAGTCAAAAAAGATTTAAGCACGAAATATGAAAGTTTTGCCTCATCCTCCTTACTCTCCAGACCTTGCTCCATTTGATTATCATCTTTTCAGATCACTGCAACATTTTTAGAAGGAAAGGAGACTATTAATCTTCACGAGATTAAAATTGATGTTTAGTGTTAGTTTTTATTCAAACATGAAGAATTTTATGCACGTAGGATCAACAATTTACCAATAAGATTTTAGAAATTTTGCCTCATCCTCCTTACTCTCCTGATCTAGCTCCATCTGACTCTCATCTCTTCAGATCATTACAAAATTTATTAGACGAATTTTTTTTATTAATTATGAAGATGTTTAAAACTGATATTGAGTGTTTCTTTGCATCGAAACCTGAAGAAATTTTCGCCCAAGGTGTAAACAATTTGCCAAATAAATAGGATTAGGTTCTTGATAACGATGGGAAATATTATCATGAATAAGCATTTGTTTCTTTGCCATTTTCAAATGCGACAAGACTTTCTTTTCAACTTAATAATCCATTTATTAAAATAAGAATTAGAAATATATGGAAAAATCGAAACTTGAACAGCTACATTCCCTGCGTCATATTTGTGAACTTATTTATCTATGAACTTATTTTTATTCCTTTTTTAGTGACAATGGAGTTAGTGGAAGTATGAACTCTCTGAGTGCTTTCTAGTTTCTAGTGTTTCCACTCGTTGGTTCTACTGTCTTCATCCATTGTACTTTTGTCTACTTTCCAACTTGTTGATCCGCTAATAAAGGGTGTTTCATTAAGACGGATCAAAGTCAGCAGTAAATAAATCAGTGTTAATGGTGAAAATTTAATTATTTCTCTATTGGATCATGTTATTTAAGTCATGGCAATTATGTGTGAAAAATAATATCGCCGAAATGTCCACCAAATTTGAAAGAAAAAGAAAAAAAATCATTAGACGTTTAAACTTAATTCACATTTAAAATAGGTCCAAGTTATTGGAACACCCTTTAGTATTGCATTAGGTAACAAGAGATCAGGTAGAATCTATAACAATCAGTCAGTAATGTGCCATGCGTGATTCACGTTTAGGCGATTATGTATCTTTCGATACATGACTGACGAGGCATATTTTTCCCGCAGTAGGTTGCCATTTCTTTCTGCGGCAGACCAGTTGCTTGGGGTGAGAGGAAGAAGAAGAGGATTGTTTACAAGCGCGGACGTCACGTGATATGGAATGCCACTGTGTTCGAATATTTTTAACGTAAATCTAACTTTCTCAAGAGTATTAGCGCATAAGTGAATATAATGGATTCGACTGGAATTCGAACTCGGCTCTCGAATTCCTCAATCTGAGCGGCTATCCATTACTCCACCGTGCTTCCTACAAGAATACAACATGATTAATAAGTAGTTTTAGCAGTTTGATTGGAGAAAATAACTTTATAACAACACATTTCCGGATGGGACTGTTCTACAAGAATAGAACATCAGCATTCAAAATGAGCGAGAGGTCATATGTTTGGATTCCTCGGGCACATAAGGTCACTTGGTGAGTTTTGTGCAATCGAATTTGTGTCATTAGGTGGAGTGACTGTCCCCAAATGCAGAACTGTGGGCATTCAAAATACTAACATTTAATTGTTGATGAATATCGACTAGTCTTGCCATTGTCGCATTCATTTAATTTCACCAGTCTGATTGATTGTATAGCGCCAAGTTGCAATAGACTGCAACATTTTATACTCTTTAACTTAGATTGAAGTTTTCGTTTACGTTTCGCTGTTCTCCCTTAGCACTAATACACTCGGGAATGGCATCAATCCACTTTCACTACACTCTGACCTACTTCAAGATAACGCAACAAATAAGACTTGTCACTGGCATGCCACAACAGAAGAATGTAAAGATAGCTATTGAGGCTATTTGTTTAGACACTATAAACAATAAAATCGTTTGTCGGTGACGCAGCTGTTATCAGCGTCGAAAATGGAACCGGCAGGGTTAGGGTTCAAATTCCTGCTGATGTTACTTTATTTTCTTCTGATTAATAATTTCCTTGGAAAAAAAAACACCCTAACTATTGGTAAAGTAATAGAGTATTCTGGTATTTCTAGCTTTGGTTGGGCAACATTTATAAAAGGAGGGCGATGATAAATTTGATGATAAATTCAAACCATCTGCTAACACGTCAGCTTGTCAGGCTATGGTTTATGACACGTACGATGCTGGAGAGTAAGGACAAGAGGATAGGACTAGATCCATGCGACAGTTTATCTAAAATCTACTCATGCACTTATTATTTTCTATTCACAAGCAGTAAAAAACAAGCGAGCAATTAACAGTAAGAACAAGCAAGCAATTAACAGTAAAAATACTAATTGTCAGCTATTACAGGAGCCAGACGGTAGTGTAATGGTTAACAAGCTTGTCTCGCTAGAACAATTACGACTTAGTAGTGAGTTCGATCCTTACTGTGAGCCCCATGCTTTCGGCCTTGTGACACATCTAAGCTACACATGGAAAATAATCGTTTCGGCACCTCGAGGTGGTGTAATGGTTATAAGCTTGTCTTGCTACGAACAATTACGACTGAGTAGTGAGTTCAATCCTCACTGGGTGCTGCATAATTTCGGCCTTGTGCCACATCTAAGCTACGCTTAGAAAATCTCTATTACAGGAGCCAGTCAAATTGCTGTGCAGCTGAAGTACTTGTTTAAGGTTGGTTGTGTTCCCTGAGCACGAATACGCTTAGGAAAAGTAGGAATCCGCTGTTTTTGCACTCTGACCTAATCTTTTTAAAAATAATTTCACCCCAAGCAAGGCGATAATGCCACTAGGACGCAAGGTCTTACAGGAAGTAAAAGAGAATGGGAAGGCTTTATTGAGGAGAAGTGATGGGAAAAGGCAATAAAGCAACAAGGTTCAGTAAGACAGAAGGTGGCCATTAGCGTTGCATTTAAATCTTTGAAGTTTGTGATTGACAGGGAAACGAGAAAGTGGATGAGAATTTCACAGGCGATAATTTCATGAATATATTATATTCGTAGACGAACCTTTTTGTAATCTTTCGGTCAACTCGTCAGGAGGTTTCACAGAGTGACTGAACCAAGTTCAGGGAACATTCAGGATAAGCACAGTTTAGTTGTAATGGTATGTGAGACTATATATATATATATATATATATATATATATATATATATATATATATGTACACACACACACACACACACACACACACACACACACACACACATATATATATACACACACACGCACACACACACACATACACACACACATATATATATATATAAAACAACTAAAAAGTTGCAAATTAAAAAAAATAATAATCTATTTTTATGAAATTATTTATATATTTATATATATATTTTTTATATTTATTTTTATATATATATGTAGTTTTGATATTTCAGATCGACCTCGATCTTTCTTCAGAAATAACTGTTTTTAGAAGTTTGTTTACAAGTAGCGTCCGTCGCCAGATGCGGACGTCACGTGATATAGAATGCCACTGTGTTCGAATATTTTTAACGTAAATCTAACAGTAATAATATTTTAGATGTTGTTTAAAAAATCTTTTTTTAACTCTATCTAAAAAAAAAAAAGTTTAACTATTGAAATATTTATAAAGATTTAAAATACCCAAAATTTTATTTAACCCTAGTTTATATGTATTTAATTTTAAAATCCAGTATTTTTCTTTTTTTTCTGCGTGTGTATATGGAACTGAAATCAGAATCTATCAATAAACATTTACAGTTTTCTAATGAGTGTCCTGATTGATTAAAGTGTTCAGCTATGGGGGAATAAGGATTGTTTTGATGTACGGTTTGTTTATGATTGTTGAAGCGAAATCTAACCATTTCACTCCAAGCAAGGCGATAATGCAACTAGGACGCAAGCTGTTACAGGGAGTGAAAGAGATTGAGAAGGATTTGTTGAGGAGAAGTGATGGGAAAAGACAATAAATGAACAGAGCTCAGGAAGACAGAAGATGGCGATTGGCGTTGCATTTAAATCTTTAAATCTGTTTGTAGGTGTCAGAGAAGAAGTAAATAGGTAGAGAGGACGATAAAAGAAACTATTAGAATAGAACAGACGATTTCAAGTAACTAGTCCAACAGTAAAAGTGTGAGATGTATTTGCCAATCTAGTTTATGCTTAAATTCATGAAGCCAAGACATCAAGGAAGAAAGCTCATCAGAACAATTTTCATAAAAATATTTCTAGAAAAGACAAAGGGGAGCCACGTCATGGCGGTGAGAAAATGACTGAAGTCGATGTGCCAGGTCAGGACTGATAACATTGCCGACCCTTCTTTGAATTCTGTCAAGAATCTCGAGATATATAGCAGAAGCATCAGACCAGATGTGGCAGCCATATCCAATGCCCGGATGAATGATAGATCTATATATATACAAGATGAATTCTAACGAGAAGAATTGTCTGGCAATACAACTTTTGAGTAAATCACTATAAAAATATCAAGTACGCTATAATAGGGCACCCGGTGAGGCACGAATTCACTACACGAGGAAAGATATAAACAAAAATAAATTTTACAGACACTTGAGTAACTTTTGTTAGTAAAGTCTGGACCATTTGCATCTTGTATGGAAACATTTTAAAATCCAGTTTCAGAATGTTCTGAAGCGATGTTCTGGCGATGTCTAGTTGGGTACAGCGACGACTGGTAGAAGCTGATCGATCCTCACGGATACTCTGCCGTACAGCGTCAGTGCGCTTAGGACCTCTTCCCGGAAGATCGCCGACTGATCCAGTTCTTTCAAACCGGACGATTAGGTTCCGAATCATGTTATCGTTCGGAGATATTTTGCCGGTCATTTTCTCTGAGTTTGAATAATTGATCATTCATTTGAATAGAAAAAAAAAACAATGGGTTTTACTCGTTGTTGGACATCATACGTAGCCATTTTAATCTCTATAACCTGCAAAAACTAACAAAAAAGGTTGAAAACGAACACGTTATGACTTTTTCAAACCCTTCAATTTTTCAGTGACCACAGCAGATCGGCATCGCCTAAGATATGACCACAGCTATGTGACGTCTTGTGAGGATCAAAAACCTTACACTAACAACGGTCTGTCGGAATAGCCGACACGATGGTCATAGTTGTATGTCATCTAGTACAAATCAACTCACTACAATGGCGAATTATTTGACTGACTGACTTGATAATTATCGCTCAGAGAACGAGCGCACATTAAACGTAGATAACACCTGATTATTAGAGAATTTTGTTCGTCATTAAAAAGAAAAGGAATGATTTTTGCCGCGTAAATAATTTTGTTTATAATGTTAATAACGTTTTTCTTTCATTTCTTTCGTTCGTTTTTCTTTCTTTTATCAAAATTTTTCATTATTTTTATTTTACTCTGATTGCTTATTCTTCATATTTTCTTTAGATTATTTTTGTTCCTTTCATTCCGCGTTTAATCTTTCTTCAAACACTTTTCTTTTATTCTTTCACTTCTTACATTGTAGCCAAATTTTCTTCCTTCCATTTACTTTTCCTTTCGTTTCATTCATTCGTTTTTCGTTTTTCGTTTTATCTTTCCTTTCCTAAACCTCTTTCATTTTTCTTTTCAAACAACTTTCATGCTTATTTTCTTTCCTTTTTTCCTCCTAAATAACTTCATTCTTCTCTTCTTCTGATCCAACTTCTTTCTTTCTTTCCTTTACTCTCTATCTGTCTTTCTTTCTTTCTTTCTTTCTTTCTTTCTTTGGGTAATTAAAGGAGGTCTTCTTTTGTCTCATTGTCTTTCTTTTACACTTTTCTGCTTTTAAAACAATTGTTTGGTGTTTCATATCGTTCTTTCTTCCTTCTTTCTTTCTTTCTTTCTTTTCTTTCTTTTAATTAAGGAGGTCTTCTTTTGTCTCATTTCTTTCTTTTTACACTTTTCTGCTTTTAAAACAATTGTTTGGTGTTTCATATCGTTCTTTCTTCCTTCTTTCTTTCTTTCTTTCTTTCTTTCTTTGGGTAATTAAAGGAGGTCTTCTTTTGTCTCATTGTCTTTCTTTTACACTTTTCTGCTTTTAAAACAATTGTTTGGTGTTTCATATCGTTCTTTCTTCCTTCTTTCTTTCTTTCTTTCTTTCTTTCTTTGGGTAATTAAAGGAGGTCTTTTGTCTCATTGTCTTTCTTTTACACTTTTCTGCTTTTAAAACAATTGTTTGGTGTTTCATATCGTTCTTTCTTCCTTCTTCCTTTCTTTCTTTCTTTCTTTCTTTCTTTCTTTCTTTGGGTAATTAAAGGAGGTCTTTTGTCTCATTGTCTTTCTTTTACACTTTTCTGCTTTTAAAACAATTGTTTGGTGTTTCATATCGTTCTTTCTCCCTTCTTTCTTTCTTTCTTTCTTTCTTCCTTTCTTTCTTTCTTTCTGTTTATATCCTTGTTTCGCTCTCTCAACTTTTCGCCATCTTACTCTTTATCTTTCACTCTTTTCCTGTTTGTTACATATCTTTTCATAAACTCTTTTGTTTCTTTTCTTTTTTTTAAATTTTTTTTTCTCTCTTTCTCTCTTTGAAGAGCAGACAAAAGCCATAGCAAATCGAGCTCCGTTCATCTTTGAGCTGGTCTCCATAAAAAGAGAACCTCACTCCTCCAACCCAACCTCCTCACGACAGCATCAAATCCGCTATCACTACAAACGCTCATATCAATACCTTTATTAACACGCCAACAACAACCACTCCTGCAACCAATGGAATCATCATCATCATCATCATCATCATCATCATCATCATCATCATCATCATCATCAACAACAACAACATCAATATCAACAATTAATGATAAAAACGACAACAACAACAACAAATAATAATAATAATAATAATATCTTTCATTGTTCCATCTGCTGCAACAACCACTATGATCCTAAACTTGAAGAAGAATGAATGCAATTACATCACGAATGGAATGATGGTGATGATGCTGATGCTATTGCTTCCAATATTTGTAAAATTAAAAGATAAACAATAGAAAAAGGAATTCTAAAGAAGTGGCGGGCGGCTAATCATTGCACCAGAAATAAAAAGTGAAAAAGTATTGGAGATGATTATGTAATTTCAACAACAAGAAGACAAATAGAAGAATAAATACTATTGCGGATGAGGGGGGGATAACAATAACAACAACATCAATAAGAAGAAGAAAAAGAAGAAGAAGAAGAAAAGAAAGAAAAAGGGTTACAAATAAGATGAAAGAAGTAAAAACGAACAAAAAGAAAAATAGGCTGTAATAATAATAATAATAAAAAGACAGAGAGGATGTTAATAAAAGAAAGGAAAATGACAATAATAATAAAAATAATGATAATGAGAAGAAGAACAAGAAAAAAAAGAAGAAATGGAAAGAAGAAAAAGAAAAAAGAAAAAGGGAAGAAAAAAGTTGAAAATAAGAAGAAAACTCAAAAAAGAAGATATAATGTTCTTTAATAATAATAATAATAATAATAATAATAATAAGAAAAAGAAGAAGAAGAAGAAGAAGAAGAAGAATAAAAAGAAGAAGAAGAAAGAGTGAAGGAGGCGGGGACAGAGGATGAACATAAAGAACATAAAAAGTCTAAAGAAGAAGTGGCTCCAAGAAGAAGAAGAAGAAGAAGAAGAAGAAGAAGAAGAAGAAGAAGAAGGAAACCCTGCAGAAAGAGAAAAGGATGATATATATAGAAGAAGAGGGGGGATGAAAATAAGAAGAAAAGAAAAGACCAGAAGGAAGAAATAATGTTTTAATAATAATAATAACAGCAACAACAAAAAGAAGAAAAAGGAAAATGTTATAGAATGGTAAAAATATCAATAATAATAGTAATAATAATACGAAGAAGACTAAAAGGAATAGGAGGAGGAGGTAGTGGAAAGGGAAGATGAATTTGATGGTTGCGGTGGCACTGGAGGTGATAGAGGAATAAATAATGATAGCAATAACAGACGAGAATACAACCAGCTTCTTCTTCTTCTTCTTCTTCTTCTTCTTCTTCTTCTTCTTCTTCTTCTTCTTCTTCTATTAATAATGAAAGAGTCTGGATGTAAATCAATGACAAAATCTATAGCAGTATTATTGACAATTTTATCGATGACATTGATTATTAAAAAAAAACAAATAAGTATTTAGGCGGCGAAAGTTTTGAGATAGGCTCTGTTTTCAAACTGGAATGGATTTTGTCTAAGATAACCAATTTGTAACGAGTATTACCAGCTTCTTACAAATGCTAGGTTGAAATCTCATGCCGCCCCGCTTTTAACTCTAATGAAACAGTAGAGAAGAAAAGAAAACACGATTGATTGTTAACCAGTATCGCCGATCCAGTACTAATAACAAAATCAAATATCAGAACCACATTGCCATTAATTCTATTCTATAAGGCTTACGGCCACATCATGTTGAAACTCCAATTCCTTTACGATAACCGAAGTTAAGCAACATTGAGTCTAAATGGGTGACCGCTTTTGAATACCAGGTGGTGTAAATTTGCGGGTGGTGTAATGGATAATGGCTCAAAATTGAAATTCAGAGTTTCAATTCCAGTTAGGTTCGTTATATTTAGTTACGTGCAAATAACTTTGGGAAAGATATGAATCCCCCTCTTCTCTACCACCAGATATTAGTTAATTAGTAAGACTTAATTACTAAACCATAATTATCTAAAAAAATTCTTACGATCTAAAACGTTTTTCTGGGTTTAAATAACCTGCAAAGGGTTGTTGATAAGCTGTAGAAAAGGAATCAATCAGTTAATCTATTCTGTAGCGACTGAACAACAATGTCATGGAGCATTCAGTCAGTTATGTCCCATGCGTCATACACGCTTAGGCGATCATGTATCCTTCAATACATAACTGACGAGGCAGATTTTTTTCCCGCAGTAGGTTGCCACTTCTTTCTGCGGTAGACCAGTTGCCATCCAAAGTTATAGAACCCTGTCTGTCTTGCTATTTACCCATATCTGGGGGGGGAAGTGAAGAAGAGGGTTCACACCTTTCATACCAAGGGTATAAGCACGTAACTGAATGTAATGGATTCGATTGGAATTCCTAAAATCGAGCCGCTATCCATTACTCCACCGTGTTTCCTAGTGTATAACTCTTAGAAAAATGTTTAAATCGCCATTGTGAATTTATAGAGTTATAACCAGAACGGATATCTCTATCTGTAAAAGACAGGATGTGTGTGTGTGTGTGTATGTGTAACGAATGCACGGCCGCAATTTTCGACGGATTTGCACGAAAATTGCATGCACATGTTCCAAGTTAGCGGGAAGGCCAAGGCCGACTTTGCATTCCCCAACTGCCATCGATAGTGGAAATAATCGATTTTTCAAGCTTCTACGGCAGTTTTCATGTAGTTTGCGGCCATTTTCTACTGGACAGAGTGAGAGCCAATAGCTGGCTGCCACGAATAGGCAGGAAGATTCTATTGGCCAGTGTGAGAGCCAACAGCTGACTGACACGAATGTTAACTAGCATGCTAGCATGCAAAAAAAAAAAAAATCGATAGCTGCATTCGTCACAAGTGGGAAAAATTTAAATCTGCATGGCACTTTACTCTAATTGGCTCATTCGCTTGCTTAAACTCAACGTTGATTCTGATTCCGCAGAACTGGGTTGGGTGTGAAAAAGTATTTGTTGTTAACATTCTTTTTCCATTCGGTTTTTCCAGTGACGAGTCCTTTTTTTTTTTTTTTAAAAGCTGATCGTTTTGTGTTCATTTTGTTTAGTTCATTTTTCGTAACAGATTTAATGTTTAGTATAGAGCTTAGAAAAACTTCGCAGTGTGAGATAGGCAAGAAGTAAGGCATGTAGCAACATCAGCACGGCAAAGGGCACTCCTTTAAAGGCAAATAAGGGCAAAAATATTTTAAGTCAAGTGATAGTGATTGCTGTACGAGTCGTACGATTTTTGAATCAAGCACGGGCAACGCCGGACCATACTGCTAGTTAGAAATAATATTTCGCGTATCTCTGCTGGTAATTTGACACTTATAGTTTTATCATCATCATCATCACCACCACCATTATTATTATTATTATTACCTTTGGTTTTTGTTGTATACACATATCCTTAGGGGTTCCAACCAAGGGCTTCAATTATAACTGGAATTATTGATGTCTTCATGTGCCACAATTTTGAGATTTCCATTTCGAGATGATTGTATTTTGATAGTTTTTTGAAGATCTTCAAAGATACATTACAATTTGCAGAAATTGCTATGTCAATAAAAGTATATTCGCCTCTTGTGGTCTCTAATTAACGATGTCTGTGCGATTAGCTTTGATTATTTTGTCTATGTTGTATATTGTAAAGTTCCCTAAAATTGTTCCAGGTCCTATCTCTGTAGCTGAGTCCATACCAGTTTCATGCAGTTTCCTTTCCGTAAAAGTTGCATGTTTTTTCAGGGCAGATTATTATTATTATTATTATTATTATTATTATTATTATTATTATTATTTTCCTTTGATTTCCATATGATACTCATTTTAGTCCGGGTTTGAACCAGAGACCTATGGACAGAAATGGCATCATGTTATTTACCACTGTACATTTTTATTAAAAAATATACAAGAAAAGATAAAACAACCGAACATCACACACATTTCCCATAGATAAAGCCCTTCATAAGGTGTGAGCCGTGAGAACAATTTTTTTTTGTATTTCTTTGAGGTATGGCCTACCAGGGATCACTTCAATGAGTCTATCAGAACTTTTTCTAATCAGACCGGGGGCTCCAAACACCACGGGAATTATTGATGTCTTAATGTGCCACATTTTTGAGATTTCCATTTCAAGATCCTTGTATTTTGATCGTTTTTTTTTAAGATCTTCAATCTGCAGGGACTACCATGTCAATAAGAAAGCACATTTTGTTTTTTGTGGTCGCATTATTATTATTATTATTATTGTTATTATGTTTCATCACACAGTGTAAGTTTTTTTTTAATACACCGGGTACATTAAGTCAAGTTACAACAAGGACCCCAAATAGACAACACGTTCCACAAAATATGCGCAGTGCCTAAAAGAGCCGATATTTAGATAACTCCAAATTGATATGATACCCCATCTGGTCAAGGAAGTCACAGTTGTTTTAATGACATTGATCCCAATACTCCAATCACCACTGGTAACACCTCGACATTCCAAACAATCTTGCCATCTCAACTTTTAAATAATAATAATAATTATTATTATTATTTCTTTGGATTTCTATTCTATACACATTTCTTTCCGGGTCCCAATCAGAGATCTAAGGTCACAAATTGTTTCAGGACAAAAAAAGATCACTAACATTTTACATAGATAAAGCTCTTCTTAATGTGCGAGCTGTACTTGTGACTACAATGATTTGTATTTCTTTAAGGCAAGGGCTGCCAGGAATCCCTTCAATGTGTCTATCGGAACCTTTTCCAATCAATCCGAGGGCTCCAAATACAACTGAAATTATTGATGTCCTCATGTGCCACATTTTTGAGATTTCCATTTCAAAGAACATTGCATTCTACAGGGACTCTCATGTCCATAAGAAAGCACATTCTGTTCTTGTGGTATTTGATCACGATGTCTGGACGATTAGCTTTGATTGTTTTGTCTGTCTGTCTGTCTGTCTGTTATTATTATTATTATTATTATTATTATTATTATATTTTCTATTTAGTACATTTCATTACCGGGGGATTACCAGAGGATCTATGCTAAGGTAACATAATAAATATATGCCTTCTGTTGTCACAAATTCTGTTGTTAAGTAATACCTAACAAGCAAGCACAATGTTTACTTTTTTAACATTGAGTCGATGAGCAGTGCAACTTGTTTTTTAATCTCTTGTAAACAGGGTCTGTCAGGGATTTTGTTCAGGTTCTTGTCTGTACCTTTCTTGGTCGTATCCAGGGCTCCAATTATTCTAGGTATGACAGTAGTCTTAAGGAACCACATTTCTTCAGTTTCAATTTCAAAATATCTGCATTCGTCATATTATTTAACAGATATAATCTGATCTGATGCTACTGTCAGATATATGAGAAGGGAAATTTTTTGTAATCTTTAATCCGCATCAACTTTTATATATCTGTCAATAATAATAATAATAATAATAATAATAAAATTGTTCTCACAAGTATAACCCACACCTTACAAAGGGCTTTATCTATGTAAAATGTGTGTGTGTGTGTGTTTTTTTTAATTGGTCAGTGAAAAATGTCATGATGCCATTTCTAAACTTAGGTCTCTGGGCGGGACCCGGAAACAAATGTGTACATACCAGAAATCAAAGTAAATAAAAATAATAATAATAATAATAATAATAATAATAATAATAATAATAATAATAATAATAATAGCGATAATAATATTTTATTTATTTATTTATCTATTTTTTTTTACAAAAATGATCAGTGAAAAATGTCATGAAGCCGTTTCTGATCTTAGGTCTCTGGTTGGGACTCAGAAGGAAATGCGTGTGGAACGGAAATCAAAGGAACAACAACAACAACAACAACAATAATAATAATAATAATAATTACCAACGGATGGGGAAGTTATACGTTTTACTATCGTAATCATAAATAAAAAAACCAAAAACAATGCAATAGTTAACAAGCTCGTAGTAATTACTACTGTAGTGAGGTTAATACTCATAGATTGCTCTGCCTTGTGTCAGACTAAGTCACTTTAGTCTACATTATGGTTACAATACGAAGGCGCATCAATAAGTTTGTAGCCTTTTCAGATATTAACTGAATTTGGATTTAAAGATTTCTTGGTATACTATTCGATCGATGTGATTAAATTTCACCACAAAATAAAGTGTATTTAAAAGGAAGGAAATTATGTTGAAAAACATGTTTGCAGTGCATTTTTCTCAAACGCAACTATTTTACACATAATCTCCTTTTTTACCAATGCACTTCATTAGGCTACGTACTTATTGATATGCCTATCTCGTAACATATTTCACAGCGCTGCCCGAGGTTAGTGTTCAGGTGAAAATTTAAGGGCCAGTATAGCAAAAGTTTATTTTGAAAATCAACATTCAAGATAATGAATGGCGCAGTACAATGGAAAAAAGAATGAAATAAAATAATAATAGAGATAAAAAAAAAGAAAAAAAAGAATCGTAATAAATTATGACAATGAAGATAAGAATAGCGTTAATTTATCCTTTCTTTTCGTGTTTTTGTATTTTAAAATACCTGGAATTATTCATCAATTAGAGAAGAAAATCCTGGCAAAATGCTCCTTTCTCCATGTTTACCAGAATAGCAATGTTGAAAAGAAATGACAAAGAAAGGAAATACTTGTAATAACATAAAAATAACAGCAGCAGCGGTAGCACTGTTATTATTAAAGCTTCTTCCCCTGAAGCGAATTTCTCCGTCCTCTCTTTCTCTTCATCTGCAACATCTTCTTCAGTTACGCTTTCTGCATCTTCCTCTTTGTAGATTCCTCACTATTATTATTATTATTATTATTATTATTATTATTATTATTATTATTATTCAAACTCTTGTTATACTTTATTTGTATAATCTTTTTCCACCTCGTTCTTTCTTCTTCTTATGTAGTCTTTTATTTTTCGTCTCCTTCTTTTATAGACCCTCTCTATTCTTATTTGTAACTTCTTTTTTCTTCTTTAGACACTTTCTATTTTTCTTCTTTTCTTTCTCCTCCTCTCTACCTCCTCTCTTTTTCCTCTTTCTTCTCCTTCGTTTTTTTCTTCTTCGTTTGAAGCCTTTTCTCATTCTCCTCCTTCAACATCTTTTATAGGTTCTTACAATTCTTTTTCATTTGTGGCATCTTTTTTTCTTTTTTACTCTCTTCATATTCATCTTCATTTGTAGCCCCTTTACTTCTTCTTTTTCGCCTTCTTCTTCTTCTTCTTTTTATTCTCCTTAAATTGCATCATCTTTTACTTTGTTCTATTTCACAACTACTACAACGATAAATAATAATAATAATAATAATAATAATAATAATGATGATGATGATGATGATGATGATGATGATGATGTCGTGGACAAGTTTACAATGAAACTCTAAACGAATACTCGTGCTAAAGAAGAAAAAAGAAGAGGTTACAAATAAAGAAGAATAGCAAGAGTCTATAAAAGGAGACGAAATAGAAAAAGAAAAGGCCACAAATAAAGAAGAAGAAGAAGAAGAAGAAGAAGAAGAAGAAGAAGAAGAAGAAGAAGAAGAAGAAGACGAAGAAGAAGCGAGAAGGAGGTGGCAGAGGCGAAAGTGGGGAAGAAGTAGAGATTACAAATAAAGTACGTTCTATTCATATGCAGACAAGAGTGATTATTAAGATGAATACTAACGCTAGTGATATCAGGAGTTGTTTAGTAATAATAAATCAACATTATTCGTATTATTATTGAGAAGGCTTCCTGTCTACTTGTCTGAAAACGTGTGCAAGATAATAATATCTGTAAATAATAAAAAAGCTCATTTGCTAAAGACCAGAAAAAATATTGATAAGGTTCTTTCAGAGAATTTTATTTACTCAGAGATAATGATAATAGTTGAGGTAGTTATTTCTGTTGTTGTTGCTAATGATATTATTTATAGCTACGAGAGTTATTCTAATGAAAAGGCTAAAATGATCCGGTATAAATGATAAAGACACATTGATAATAATAATAATAATAATAATAATGTTTATTGTGCTTATAGTAAGAACAACAATAATATTGCTCTCAGTATTAGCAATACCGATTGCAAAGTTAATAGTCATAATATTGATGATGCTTATACTCCCGAATGTCATGAAGAGGTGGGTACTGATTTTAATAACTGCGATTGTAACAATATAAATGTGATTCTAATAAAAATATTAATAAAAATAATATAGGTTTCGAGAAACAATAAGATCGATTATAATAAAGCAACCTTGACAATTATATCTCGACCATATAAGCAAAATAATTGTTACTGCCGCCATCAAAACATTAATAACATGGCGACTACCATCAAAACCGATATAACATTATTCTGATGCATTAAAACTAACATTTGCAGTCGTTGTCGTGGTATTTGCAATTGCAGCAGACGACATAAGATCTTCCAGGAGAGTTTTAACGAAACAAAGATATGGTGGCAGTGGCTGGCGGTGGTAAGATTAAGGATGACAGAAGCAGGAGCAGCGGCAATGATAAAGAAGTTTCCCAGTAGTTACGGTCGTCATAGCGGTAGGAGTCGTCGTGATGGTGGTAGTGAAAATCTGGGCGAAAAAGGAAGGTGGTAAGATAAATCAAGTGACGTCACTTCCTGCTTTGACAGAAGGGAAGCAACTGTGGTAGGAAGACGGTGTCGGCAGTGGAAGAGAAGGTAGAAGAGAAGATGGATGCTTTTGTTGTTCGTCTGGAAAAAGAAATGGTGGTGGGGTGAGGAAGAGGAAAAAATACAGACAGAAGAATTTAGTTTGGCGGGGGTTTAAAACATGGTGTAGACACAAGTAGAAAAAAAATGTGTAAACAGAAAAGAGGACAAAGAAAAGGGGAAAAAAAGAAAGAAAGAAAGAAAAAAGAAAAGAAAATGGATTTTAGTGGGTTATTGTGGATTTTACAACAACACAAATGTTCTGGGAGGATTGTCACACGCCAATCTGCTGCGTCGCTTACTTGAAAATGAAAGGGGTGGTAACATATATGCAATTATCTCCGCTACTTAACAGGCGTGTATAGAAAAGGACACACACACAGGAACACGCGCACACGAACTCTCTCTCTCTCTCTCTCTATCTCTCTCTCACACACACGCATACGCACACACAAACACAGATGCGCGTGTGCACGCGCACATATTTATTGTGTATTTGGGCAGCAATCCTTCTTTAATAGATGTTTTATTTAGTTATTTGTTTTATTTATTTTTTTTATCATGCATGTAAGTGTTCTCGTTTCTGGACATCTTCTATGTACCGCGTCACTTCAAGTCGTAGGCAATCATGGCTCTCCACAATTTCCTCTTTGTAGCTCTTAGTAAATGTTGTCGTTTTGTCATCTCTCCTGATCCTTGTTCCGCCATACTTTAAATCACTTTCGTCAGATAGGTCATGCGATGCTTTACTCTCTTCACTCTGCCGTTAATCTGTCCTGTGAGTATCAGATTTTCCAAGCCCTCTTTCCTCATTTTGCGCCCTAGAACTGCCTTTTACTGGTGTAAAGTCTAAGTGTTCGTTTTATTACCATTTTCTCTAGTCATTTTCTCGTCATTGTTTGCATGTTCGGTTCATGTTATTCTCAGCATCCTTCTGTAGTATCAAATTTCAAGTGTCTGCTTATTCTGCGAGGATATTGTCCAGCATTCACTGTAATATAGGAGGATTGATATTACATAACAGTTCAACAGTCTCTTCCTTTCCTTAAATTTTGGAAGCCATCTTTCGTTAACCCACTGCATTTTCAGATTCTGTTATATTCGGTCCTCTGTTAAAACACTTCCCAGATATGTAAATTTCTGTACTTGTTTGATTTGTAATTTGCATGTTGGGTTGTCCCTTTTGCTAACAACAATGTAGTTAACGAGTGTATAAATTGTCCAAACATTGATTTCGAATGCTTTCGGCTAAACTAATAGCTATTTTCAAGAATTTTTCTCATACGACTATAATAAATGATGTAAAAATGTTGATATCGATTGTATAAAAGTTGCTGAAAGTAGACATATAGATAATTTCCAAATAAGACTGGTACATTAGTAGTATGAGAAAAAGGAAATGGTTGAGCGTCTGAGCCGAAAGCGGTTAGAACCAACAAAGTTTTGAATGATTTTTACATTCATTACGTCCAGATAAGAAAAAAAATGTACGCTTACAAGAAAAACAGAATGTCAATAAATAAACAAAATTACCTTGTCAGAAAAAAAAAAAAGAAACAAAAAAAAACAAAAAAAAAAAACGCTTAACAATGTTAAATCCTATGAATGGATGGCTCTAGTCGTAACTCGAGTTTCATGCTCACGTTATCTTCAGACGGATTGAACGGAAATGAAAGAAGTGGCGCGGTTTTATATAACGCGTGAATATATATACCGTGTGTAACAGCAAAATTTTTCAAATCGTGTAACAGTAAAATTGTCCAATTGTAAGCTTTGAACCGTTGTATCTTAGACATGATTAAAGATATCTTACTGGAATTCTCCGGGGTTCTATTAACACTATTGGACTCTACTTTGAGCGGTAAGAATGTATAATTACTTTCTAAGATTATCAGAAGAATCGTGGTGAAATCGGTCATAAACGAAAATGACATGTTCATAATTAATCATAGCTAAGCATCGGAAGCGCACGAAGGATTCAAATAAAGTTCAAAAATATATATATATATATATATATATATATATATATATATATTATTCCAGGTTCATTTTCAAACTTATTCAAGATGATCTTCGCCCTCTCTAACCTTTTCACTTTCTGTCCTGGAGTAACAAGGTTCCTTGCAGGTTTCACCTACGATTTCATATTCAAGTTTTTTTTTTTCACTGCTCTTTGGGCTGTCATAGGTAGAACTCTTCCCTCATGTGCCAAACGTCTTGAGTTGGTTCTGTTTTAATTCATGTCTTTAGCTCTAAGTTGAAATGATGAACCCACTTCCGCTTGTGATCTCCTGATCCCGTTTTGCTCTCTACTGTTCCATCTTTTTAAAATTTATTCACCGTTCTCTGGATGGTTCTTGAATGGACTTTGAAGATGGAAGCCTGAGTATGAATGTTGGTACCATTACTGAAGGCCTGAATGATCTTTTTCCTCTCAGCATTGCTCAGTTGAGAAAACAGTGAGGCTGACACAAAATTATTGAATAGCTGAACGGGTTTTTCAGTGATTCTTACGACAAATGGTGTCAAGATGACTAAACGTCTTATCTGAAAACCTGAAGAACGGAAACTCAATTACTTTAGTGATTTTTTTAGTATTAAACATTTTGTGGGATGGAAAATTATGCTGTTACACGATTTGAACCATTTTGCTGTTACACCCGGTATAACTATTTTAATTATTTACTTATTAACATACGATGTAATGCATTTCGGCGCAATTTTAAACATTCACAGAAATTACAAGAAATCTAGACTTACTTAACAAGAATGAAAAAATGATAAATATACTAAAAACAATCAAATAATTCAAAGCAGACCCCAATCTAAAAACCTGAAATATACATTAACCTCATCGAAATTTAACCAACACAATATACAGGGAGTCACAAAATGCAACAAAAAACGTGCGGGATTTGTGATGTCATTATAGAAGGGAACTTCTACACTTTTGCAAACTCCACAACTAAATTCACAATAAATAAAAATTTAAACTGCAACTCCAAAAATGTGATTTGTGCATTCAAATGCACAAAATGCAAAAAGTCATATATAGGCATCAGCCAGGCACGTAACATCAGAGTTGTCCTTCACAAAAGCAACATCAAATTACCCGATAACAGAAAACGCTTTGTATCGCAACACATCTACAAATGCAATCAAGGCAAATTTAAAATTATGCCAATATACCAAACAACTACTCCTACGAATTTAGAAAAAAAAAACTTCATAGACAAATTTAAACCAAACTGAACAGATCATAACTCTAAACACATGGACACACAGCATGCACACTGATGGCCAGATACAATGGTCAGGCCGCACACATACATACACGTACGCACACGTATACAGGTATCCATGGTGAACAAAAATATATACATACACTGGCAAAAACAGATAGACTACACACGGACACACACACGGACACAGGAAGAGTGTGTTAGTGTGTGTGGGGGTATGTATGTATATATGTATGTGTATATATATATTTGTGCATGCTGATATATGGGGAGAGAATAAACATATGCAGGCTAACAGAAACATGCACGCATCAACACATCTGTCATCACCACCTTTCATACCAAACCTAATGGTTTTTTAACCATTCTCCAGAAAGGAGATCAAGGCTCATTACTAAATGCAAAAAACAACTAATGAGACATTAAAAGAACATAAGGAAAATTTATTCATTTTAAAAATGTATTCCTTTTATTTGCCTGAAGAAGTTCACGAATCCGGAAACACATGCAGCAGAAATATGAAGAATAAAATATAATATATATATTAAAACAAATCCATATTATAACCAAAAATGTTTTCGATTTCTCTCTTTTTAAAATATACGTTATTCTCTCGTTTGAACAACTATAACCTTTTCAATATATATATATATATATATATATATATATATATATATATATGAGGGTTATAGCTTTTTTTAACCCTATGTTCCGGTGTCAGAAATCGTTGAACTTGTGTTCAAAAGTAATGAAAAATACATTAATTTGTTTTAACCGAAAATTCTTTCATATACGCAATAAGGATAAAAATTGAAATATTTCAGAAGCTTTATTTTTCACTTTGTTACTGGTGTAATTGAATAGTACTTATGTAGTTTTTAACGCGTTTAAAAGTTTATAGCTATAGCATAACATAAAACTTACAAATAAACAAGTTCTAGAAGGTTCCACAAATTTATAGAAGGCTCTAGGAAGTTCTAGAATATTCCAGAAAGTCCTAGAAGACCCCAGAATATCATTGTACTATTAGAAATTTCGTGTTGGGGTGTCATTTTAAAAAATGAACTGCATGAAACTCTTCTTCATTATTTTTAATGAAACATTTATCTAATTAATGATACAGGAAATCAGTTATTTTGCAAAAATATCATAACCCTGATATATATATATATATATATATATATATATATATATATATATAGGGATAGTAGTCGTGGCTCTAGGGGGCACAAACTTTGGGTAAAGGAACTTGGATGAGTTTCAACACGGAATTTGTGAATGAGCGGCGCAATATCGAGTCTAGTTCGCTAGCTCGCCGTCACCGAGGCCCGTTAGTACAGTTGGCATGACGTTTGCCTGTCAATGTAACTGTCCGGGTTACAATTCTTGGTAGTGGATACGCACTGCTGATGAATCCCAAATTTGGAACGAAACGACCGTCCAGTGCTTTCTGTATTTTGTTGAGATTTCTTCTAGGCTCGATGAATTATTTAATTATCTCAAATCTTCCTTAATTTCTATCATATATATCTTTTACGAAAACAAAAATCACAGAAGGAATCAGATTCATATGATATTGAGTTTCACTTTTTGTGCCTCCGTTATTGTTGGATGATATTATATCATGAAACGAGTTACGATTTAGATCAGATCCCCGAATTAGTTTGTGAGTGTTACTGTTCTGTCTTAGGCTAATGCTTAGAGTCGTTGAGCACTTTAGTTTTCGTGTAGAAAGTGTCTGTCTTTTTCCTTTTATATTTTCAGCGCATACTTTTTTCGTATTATTGTTTCTTGTACTTTCTTTTACGTTCTCTTTTTTACTCCTTAGCAGGCTTAGTTAGTGCTGGAAGATTTGTTCTTTGAAACTTGAATAACTTGACTTGTGTTAATAGCTTTCCGAAATCAAATGACGCGTTCTTCCAAAGCTCCAAAAATTTAACTGATTCCAAGCTCAGCTGAGAAAAAAAAAAAAAAAAAAAAAAAACCCGTAAATATTGCTTTGTGTATGTCATTTATGTGCCATGCGCGATAGACGCTTAGGCAATCATGTATCTTTCGATACATGACTGACGAGGCAGATTTTTTTTCCAGCAGTAGGTTGTCATTTTTTTCTGCGGTAGACTAGTTGCCATCCAAGGCTATAGAACCCGGTCTGTCCTGCTATTTACCCATAGCTTAGATGGAGTGGAAGAAGAGTATTAAAACCTTTCCCAAGAGTATTAGCCCGTAAGTGAATATCAGTCAGTTATGTGTCATGTGTGATACACGCTTAGGCGATCATGAATGACAAAGCAGATTTTTCCCGTAGTAGGCTGCCATTTCTTTCTGCGTTACTCCAGTTGCCATCCAAGGTTATAGAACTGATCTGTGCTGCTATTTACTCATAGCTGGGGTGGGGAGAAGAGGATTCATACCTTTCACTAGGCTATTAAAGTGTATCAATTCTAGTTTGTGAAATATATGGCAGTAATGCTGCCTTATTGGTCTGATCGGGCTCGTGTAAAGATGAAGCATAGCAGAAGGAGTACTTTCAGTTTGGCTTGTACGTTTGACATAGTGTTTTTCTTTAGAGTTCTATAGCTGTTATAAACAGGCAGGTATTTATTATATAACTTGAGAAATCTTGATGTGGACATTGTGACATTTGTGTACTTAAAGAAGAATCTTAAGTACCTTATACGAGGAGGGATCCTTAATAATTTCGTCGATAGATCAAGAGAAACGTGAAAATAGGCGACACAGACAGACAGAGTCAACCAGATCCCTATATATATATATATATATATATATATATATATATATATATCCTAAAAAATTTATTTCGGTTGAGCTTTCTGGGAATTTTGTAAACAGTGACTATTGCTGCTAATAATGCAAGACTCTTCGGTGAAGCGAATCGAGTTCTCTCAGTCACTGTGTGTTTATCTAAAAATAAATACTCTTAAATTTGCTTTCGTCCCTGCCGTGTCCCAACGGCTTAGGGGTAGAATATCCGACTGACGCTAATTCAGCCGGGTTTCGATCCTAATTAGCCGCGCTGATGAGTTGTGATACAGCGAAACAGTCTGTCTGTAGATGACAATATATATATATATATATATATATATATATGTGTGTGTGTGTGTGTGCGTGTGTAACACTGAGCATATCAGCATTCAATACCGTAGTCAAATGAAAAAACAAGATGAAAAAATCCTAAAAATATCTCCTAAGTACTAATATATTGCCCACTGATCACAGTAAAAAGAAATGAAACTAATTATCCGCTATACTAAATTTAACCCAACCAACTTAAGCATACGCAATGACTCTTCTCTATCAACTAATGTTTTTCAAAAGACCGACATTGTCTCTCTGTTTGAATATCCTTTGGGAGATTGTAGCTCTGACAAAAAAAAGTAAGCACATATGTTGGCTTGACAACAACAACATTATCTAGACGTCTTACACACCATTTATCGGATACAAGTTCTATCGCACAACATTTAAAAACACATTCCTGCCCACCTTCACAATACAGGAAAATACTTGTTGAAAACACCAATATACTACACAACGAAAATAATAAACAAAATATTCAAATTCTACAGGCCCCCTATATCAAAACCAACCAATCAACACTGAACAACCATTATTATGAATATAATACCAACGTTTTTAAAATGTATTTGAGTTGAGTAACATTTAACACCATTTCTAAATTTACCATTTGGAAAATTTTACCATCTCTGGTTATCGCCCTTGAACTACGAACGATCTGTTTACAAAACATCGTAACCACAACGGTTAATTTTGAAACAATTATAGCAGAGCGTGTTCGCATGTGTTTGCAAAATCATTATCATAATTATTAGTTACATTAAATTTGTCTTCGCAATTCACCCCTGAGGAGGAGATCGAAAGTATTTGGGTTAACAAAAACTGCGGTGCCTCCCTTGATGAATTTCAGCTTAACATCAAGAGAACTAGAAAGCATTATCATAAATATAGATATATGACTATATTTAATGAAACATGCTTGAATGAAGATATACTGCCTAAATATACATACATACTTACACACATAGACATGCACAGACACACACACAGACACACAGACACGCACATACACACACACAGACACACACAAAGACACACAGACACGCACATACACACACACAGACACATATATACAGAGAGATAGCGAAAGAATTAGTTAATTAGAGTTAGACATCTATAAATAAAGGGGCATCTAGGCGTGGCGTAATGGTTAGAAAGTTTGTCTCGCTAGAACAATTACGACTGAGTAGTGAGTTCAATGCTCAGTGAGTGCCCTTTGGCCTTGTGCCACATCTTAGCTACTCTTAGAAAATCAATATTTGCTACAATTTCTGTAATGAACAGAAATATCTATAAATAAAGAGATCGATTCAGTTGAAATATACGATCGATAATGCATATACAATGACACCCCATATATATATATATATATATATATATATATATATATATATATAAAAGTGAACATAAAGATCAATCGTTAGGCCACGAGTGCCTGTCGATTTCATCTAGCATGAAACAGCCTGTCGCCTCTAAGTGTTGACTTCTATGTTCACTTTTATATTTACACACGCTCTATCTCTGATATTGAGCACTTTATCCCATAAATATAGAACATCTTAAGACTATATTTCTTCATATATATATATATATATATATATATATATATATATATATATATATATATATCTGAATTGCGATCAATTGGGATTTTTCTATTCTTCTCCTAATTTCATTTTCTGAAGAAACTTAAATAAAAGTGAAAATCTTAAATTTAGAAACATTTCCTATTTGTTCCTCATCATATATATATATATATATATATATATATATATATATATATATATATATATATATATATATATATCTGTGTGTGTGTGTTTGTGTTATCCTCTGTCTCGAGAAACCTTGGATCTGCGCCCAAATTGTCATGCCCCAGCGGCTGATGGAGTGTAGTATCTGTTATGGCTCTACAGCCCCACACGGGTGTCACAGTCCGAATGCATCACCCGATGACCTCTTGTTGTTTTCTTACCGTCGAGCACGCTTCTCCCCGCCGACAGGCTTTCGTTTCTTCTCTCCTAGCTCAAGCTCTCGGTGTAACTCGCATCTCCAACGGAAATGATCTTCTCAACTCTTGATGGCCATGATATACATAAAGAGAGGTTGCGGGGAGAGAGAAAGACAGAGAGAAAGAGACAGAGAGAAAGAGAATTAGCTCGTTGAATACATAGATACCATTGATAATACATATGCAATAACTGATATATATATATATATATATATATATATATATATATATATATATATATATATATATATATATATATATATATGGGAGAGAGAAAGAAGTAGGAAAGATAGAAATATCCAATCGTTAATATATCGTTATTATACAGGTTGATTGAAAAATAACTACCTATTTACTGTATGATTGGTCAGACAGGAATCCTGATTAAAGCCCTGTGATTTTATTTCTTTGGGGTTGGTTAAAGGAGCAAATCTACTATACTACACGATACTATACTCGGGAAGAACTTGAAGAGCAAATCCCAGAAGTTATGTCTTCCACACCACAAGAGTTCCTGGCGGCTCGAGAAGCTGGTAGCGAAATCTGGTGCCCATATCGAATATGAAATAAAACCTCATGCTAAACGCTTTCCTCTCATATCCATTTCTTGTTAAAATTATAATTAATAAATAAATTATAAGTATTTTGAAATGAAGAGTTACTTTTCAAACACCTTGTTTTGCAATGGCACACACACACACACACACACATATATATATATATATATATGGAAAGAGTGAAACACTGAGGCAGACAGATGCATTATAAAAATAGATAGATAGATAGATAGATAGATAGATAGATAGAGATGGAGAGAAAGAGAGAGAGAGATTGAATTAGCTAAGAATAGACTAGGAGGGATAGATAAACACTGGTGATATGACATAACTTTGTCTAATATGGGGAAATGAGTAGACAAGTTTACATTGATTGATAAAAAACAAAAAAAAATGTAAAGCAAAGCTGAGGGAGGGGGGTAGACAGAAATTAGCGTTGATGGGGGGATGACAGAAAGAAGAAGATAAAGAAAAGTAAGAAAGAAAGTGAGAAAAGCAAAAGAGAGGAGGAGAATTAAAATGGCTGACGACAGAGGAAATAAACAGGAAACAGAGAAAAGGCATGGAAGTGATTTGTAGGAAGAAGAGACGAGAGAGGGAGATTACAGAAATCGGGGAAAGCGGGGAGAGAGGTGAAGTTAGAGAGAGAGAGAGAGAGAGAGAGAGAGAGAGAGGGGGGGGTAGAGTGAAAGAGAAAGGGAGAGTGAAGGTCGGATAGCGTGAAAGAGAAAGTGTGTGTGAATGCGAGAGAGAGGGAGTGGCTGGTGCTTAAAAATAGGCGAATAGAATAAGCGAAGAGAATGAAGAAATAAATAAAGAAAGAAAAACGGTGATAATCAAAAACGATAAACGAACAAATAAAGAAAGAGAGAAAGAGAGAGAGAGAGAGAGAGAGAAAGAGAGAGAGAGAGAGAGAGAGAGAGAAAGAGAGAGAGAAAGAGAGAGAGAATGGAGGAAGCAAGAACATAACACTAAAGAGAAAAGAAATTTAATAGAAAAGAAAGGAAAAGAAAATCCAAGTAGAAAGTAATAGAGAAGAAAAGAACGAAGTCAGAAAGTGCAGAAAATAGAAAAGAAATGTAGAAATAATAAAGTGATAGATTTAGTATGATTAAAATGGTGGGGGTCGAAAAAGAAAAAAGAGAAGGAGAGAAAAAGAGTAGGAAAAGAGCGAAAGAGTAAAAAAGAGAGGGCAAGAGGAAGAGAGGGATAAAGAAATACATAAAGAAAGAAGAAAAGACGGTCGAAGAGAGAAATAGACAAGGGAGAAAGAAAGAAAGAAGGGGTGGGAGAGAAAATGAGCATAGCGAGAGAAAGATAGATAGATAGATAGATAGAGAGAGAGAGAGAGAGAGAGAGAGAGAGAAAGAGAAAGAGAGAGGGAGAGAGACAGACAGATAATGAGAGAAGATATGGAGATCTCGAGGCAATTTGTATGGAGGGACGAAAAAGCAGGAAAGCAAATGTGACGTCTAATCGAAAAGAAGCGAAAAACTAAATAATAATAAAAAAAATAAACCGTACAGGCGGGAGATGGAGAAAACGCGGGAAAGACGAAAAGATTTCTCGTCGTCAATGGCGAGATACGTTCTGGGAAAGTAATAAAAATAAAAAAAAAAATGTGAAAAACTGTAAAAATAATAATATAAAAAAAAAAAAATGAAAATGAAAGAAGATCAAAATTTCAAATGAATGTCCCAATAAATAAAATGTAAAAAAATAATAGACATATGAAGAAATAAATAAACGTGAAATCGAGTAACAAGCAAACAAACAAAGTATAATGATTAGGAAAAGAATTCTACTAAAAAATTAAAAAAAAAAATACCGAAAAAAAAAAAAAAATTATGAGAACCGAACGATAAATAACAAAAGACCAAAAATGGAAACGAGACAAAAATAAAAACGTTAAAAGAAAATGATAAACTATTTTCTCCCAAATGTAAATAAAGGAAAGTAAAAGAAAGTAACGAAAGAAAAAGGAAAAAAAAAATGTTTATTATATGAAAAGAAAGATAGAAAAGAAATAAATGAAAGAAAGGAAGAAAGAAAAAAAATTAGAAAGAATAAGTGAAAAAAAAGAGAAAAGAAACGAAATAAAAAGAAAAAAATGTTCATTAGATGAAAAGAAAGAAAAAATAAAAAAACAAAATACATTAGAAAAGAATAAATAAAAAAAGAGAAATAGTGAATAGAAGCAGGATTGAAAGAAAACGAACATTAGAAAGCAGGAATGAAAAAAGAAAGAAAGAATAAAAGATATTAGAATGAATGAAAAAAGAAAGAAAGAAAAATATTATTGGAACTGAAAGAAAGTAGGAAAATTAAAAATATATTAGAATAGATGGAAGAAGAAAATACCATTAGAAAGAATGAATGAGAAAGGTAAGAGAGGAAAAAAGATATTAGAATAAATGAATAAGAGAAAGAGATAGAAAGGGAAGAAAGAAAAATATATTAGAAAGAAAGAAAGAAAGAAAGAAAAAAGATTGAATGGAAAGAAAGAAAGGAAAAGGTCATTAAAATAATGACTGAAAGAAGCAAAGAAAAAAAAAAAAAGGACATTAGAAAGATGAAATGAAGGAAGAAAATAAAAGAGGACACGAGAAAAAATGAATGAAAGAAAGGACGAAAGAAAAAGGTAATTAAAAATAATGAATGAAAGAAGGAAATTATAAAGGTTATTATAATGAATGAAAGAAGGAAAAGGTCATATGAAAGAATTAATGAAAAGAGGAAAGAATGGAAAAGGATTATTACGATGAATGAAAGAATAAAAGAAAAAGAATGATGGAAAGAAGAAAAAAGAAATTTAAAAGGATGTATGAAAAAAGAGAGAATCGATAAAAGATATTAAAATGAATGAAGAAGAATATTTAAATAAAATGCAAATAAAGATTTTAGAAAGAAGGAAAGAAAAAAAAGCATTATAAAGAACGAATAAAAGAATAAAAGAAAACGAGTATTAAAAATAAAGAATGAAAAACGAAAAGTATTAAAAGGAATCAAATGAAGAATGAAGCAATTAAAAGGCAAGACAAAAAATGAATAGAAAAAAGAATGAATAAAAATCGAAAAGGAGAAAAGTTTGAAAGGAAGAAAGGAAAAAGAGAAGAAAATTGAAAGTGGACTAAATGAAAAGAAACAGCAAAAAAAAATAAAAAATAAAAAAAATAGAGGAATGAATATAAATGAAAGATAAGCGAAAAGATGCCCAATAAAGAAACGAAACAAATGAAGAAGAAAAACGAATGAAAAATAATGTCTAGAATATAAAACAGTAAAAAAAAAAACCAAACAAAAGACAAAAAAAAAAAAACAAAAAAAAACGAACAAACGAAATATCGCTCTAGAAAAAAGAGAGACAAAGAGAATTTAGAAGCGAATAAAGAAACAGAATGAATGAAATGAAAAAAAAAAAAAAAAAATGCGGGCAAAAACTGATATTTTGTCGAAGCAGTACGCAACCGCTAACTAGAAAGATACGAATCAAAAGCAGACAGCGAAGGAACGTGTGCGTATACTGTGTGTACTGTTTGTTGCCTTAATAGCTTAATTGTGTATGTACAATTTTTCTTACACACATACACAGTCTGTCTACGTATACAGTCACAGATATACCATTTAAGACCATGTTTATAGACTTAATTTTAAATTGTTCGCATCTTGTTGTTAGTGGCTTTTCAGTCTCCTATAAATTCGATGAGTGAATATCACAGTTAAAATAGTGTACGTCGTGTTATCTGCGGCTTTTGCTTACACATGTAATAAGTCCGCTAGACTGTGTTTATAGACATTTGTTTTGTGCGTATATCAAAAATGATTTTAGTGCGACGGGCGTACAATTTTTACACGGCTGAGCGTATTTTTTTCGGGGGGGGGAGGCGTAAGGGGATACACGTGCTGGCGCGCATACGCACTCAGAGACAGACACAGACGCACACGCTTCAAATATAGATATATTAATGTAACGAGACACAAACGGGGAAACACTCACTCACACGATTATAAATACAGACATACGCATATATCAAAAATAACCATACCAAAAATACGCATACCAATGCATGCGTGCGCAAACACACACACACACACACACACACACACACACACACACACACACACACACACACACACACACACACACACACTTAAAAAACGAAAAGATGTACAAATATATCTGGGCACATATACACACAAACATATATCTATGAATACATTCACAATATATATATATACATCTACATATATATATATATATATATATATATACTAGGTGAATGTGTCCGTAGATTATATATATATATATATATATATATGCTTAGTCATCCGCAGACTGATTGTTTCACTGTATCACAGCTCATTAATGTGTCTAGACACACACACACACACACACACACACACACACACACACACACACACACACACACACACACACATATATATATATATAGATATATATCATACCAATACATGCACATATACACTGACTTGGTGGACGAGATACCTGCATAATATTAGAGTTCAGGTAAAAAGATAGAATTTCAAATGTTCTTGAGCACCACGACATGGTGTAATGGTTAACAAGCTTATCTTTCTCGATCAGTTACGACTGACTAGTGAGGTCGATCTTGACTGGCTGCTCCTTAATATTAGCCTTGTGCCACATTTCAATTGCGCTCAGTAAATCACAATTCAAAATATTCTTTGTATTCGGAAGATTGGCTCAACATAATCATCTGAATTCGCATTTTTTCATATTGTGAACATTTAGAAAACACCTATACACACCTACTTATGTAGAGGAGACATTAAAGTGTGTGTGTTTGTATAGGGGGTGTATATACCATTAAATAATGATATTTATTAGCAAATATATACACCACACACACGTACACGCCTCTCCCTCGCACAATCATTGTTGAGTAATATCATCGTTTTTCTACAGGTGATATCTCGTTATTTTCTTTTCATCAATTGGTTTAAATATCTTCTTCTATTGGCGTGTGCAATCATGGCTCTCCACAGCTTCCTGTCCTTAGTAGCTTTTAGTATGTTTTATCATTGTTGCCATCTCTCTTAATCCCTGTTCTGCCGACAAGCTCGTTATGCAACTTATACACAGCTTTCCCCTGTCTCTCTTGCATTCAATATGTCACATGAGTGTCAAAATTTCTAAGCCGTCTTTTCTCAGTATGATATTAACATGTTCAGTCCGTGGTCTTCTCAGCATCAGATTTTGGTGTCTGAGAGAGTTGGAGATTTCACACCGGTGTGAAGAATAATCAAGAATAGTAATGAAGAATAATGCTGTTTTTCCAGGCAGGACTGGCTTAGTACGGTCTGTCGCTTCTAGATTTTACCTTGTCAGTTCTTTGTGTCAAAGTTAGTTGAGTGAAGGCTGAGTATTTTTCATGCACGCACGAACTCACATACAGATACGCACACACACGCGCGTGCACACATTTATATATATATATATATATAGATAATATTAGTGGAAAATATACATACATATGAAAAATATATCTAAAAAATTCCCATACATGTATATTTTCAGAAAAAATTTTTAGAAAAAATTTTCCAAGAGGAAGGATCCAGGTAGAACTCAATGTCTAGGACAGAGTAAGGATTAGACATCCGTCGACTTTCTTTCTCTCCTCTTTTTAAATCCACCCCCACCCACATCTCCAAAAATTCTCTCTGTCACTCATCCTCATACTTACACTTTCTCTAAATTCTGTTTTGATTTCCGGAGTTGTTTTTTCTGTTTTCATTTTGAATTTGTAGGTCTGATGATTTGGATCGTATTTACGATTCCAATGGAATAAATTATGACCATGGAATATTAGTGTTTAAGCTTTTTTTATTATATATATATATATATATATATATATATATATATATATATATATATATATATATGGAAATAGATCTAAGAACACACAGGGCTCATTTAAACATTAAAAGATAAAATATCGATAAGTAATTCATCATTTCGCTTGGACCAACCTTAATTGTTTTATGAACCTTCGCGCAGAACTCTTTACTGCCAATTCAAGAAAGACATTCGGATTACTAACACAAAAACAGAGAATGTCTCATATCGAGAATATTTAACATTGAAAAACATAAGGAAAAAATTAATTATTTTTAATAATATGTGGAAATCTCCGCTTTTACCTGAAGACGGTCACGAGACCAGAAACACGTGTAGTAAAATTATGGAAAATAAAGTATAATTTAAAAAAAACAATCCACATTACAACCAAAAACGTTTGCGGTACCTCTCTTCTTTTTAATATATTTATATACATACATATATATATATATATATATATATATATATAATGAGTGTGTGTGTACAGAGCGAAATAGAGAGAGAGAGAGAGAGAGAGAGAGAGACGAAGAGAGAGGGAAGCAAATAGACAGAGATGGAGAGAGAGAAAGATAGTGAGATAGAATGAATACTATGTACTTATCTTCTTATTGGGGAACTCTTATGTCGGTCCGATTAAACATCGACCGCTGTCATCAGTGGAAAGTAGCTGATTATTTTATGTACATAATACAGTCATACACACCCAGAAATGTTCTCAACTGAATCCATTTGACTGATTGATCATCAGATATTGTCAGTGGGAAGTGTTCTCGACGGGGTCGAACAGTTTTCAGCAATCCCTTGTGCATATATATATATATATATATATATATATATATATATATATATATATGTATGTATGTATGTATACAGAGTCTGCGATGGGTAAATTGTCGCCATTTTATATATTTAATTTCGCGTATGTGCGTTGTTTGTTTTTGATTTTGTCAACTGCACAGTGTAGTAGGGTCAGTTGGGTAGCGTCTGTGAGTAAAAGAACACCATGATGCAATTCGCTCCGCCAGAAACGGCAAGCTGTACTACTTGGCATTCGCGTCGGACGAATATTTCGGAGTGTTTGGGTGTTAGTCCGAGGACAGTGTAGAGGATTCGGAAAGAGTTGGATGAGTCTAATGGTGATTACGAAGGTGTTTGGCGTGATCACTAGTGATAGCGACGTTATGCCATCTTCATCTTTCCACAGGGCTTTAGATTCAACACGGAGGCCTACATCAAGTGCATTGAGGAGTTGTCTGCTGAAAGACCCTATATCTGGCAATAAGCAGGAAAACCCAGTCATGACTATCAAACAATTATTTGTGGCCAGAACATTCCTTACATCTGGCCGCCTATCTCCCCAGACAACAACCCCCTTGATTGTTATGTGTGGGCCACAGTTGAGCAACAAAAATATTTTCAACACCAAAGAACTGAAGGCAATGATTATGGGCATCATTCGCCCAGCTTAAACGAGGAGATCACACAGAAGAGTTGCAGGAGATTCAGAAGTCGTCGATGTGGAGACGTGGTCTATCTATCTAATATTTGTCTGATTGTTTGGTCACATATGTGTATTATATGTGCGCTGATGTTTTTTCAGTGAAAAACCTGTTTTCAGGTGTATATTCAGTTAATAATTAAAAATACCGTCTGATAACATTTGCATCTATCTATCTATCTATCTATCTATCTATCTATCTATCTATCTATCTATCTATCTAATTCTCAATATCTATCTATCTATCTATCTATCTATCTATCTATTATATTCAAAATAATACTGCCGATACATACAAAATTTTAGTCACACACACACACACACACACACACACACACACACACACACACACATATATATATACCTGTATGGTTGTACAATGCAACTGAATATAGATATTTTAAATGCTTATTCTGAGCTGTACGTTTTAGAAGAATGTTGTATTTATATGTATGTATACCTGTGATAAAATACACTCAACGACTTTTACATTTAGAAATATCAAAGCGTGTTTGTAACTTTTCATCGGTGCGTATGTATGTGTGTTTGTGTCTGTGTGTTATATCAGAAGTATGTCATATATGTCTTGTATATGAATTCAGCGGATAGTTGCAGACACACACACACAGACAAACACACATATATATATGTGTGTGTGTGTGTCTGTGTGTGTGTGTATGTAGACATTGTCTCATTCTGTTGGTATATATAAATATTCGTATGTTGATACGAGGAGTATTTCGGATGCAAGGGTGTATATGTAGATCCGAGCGCACATAGGCACACTCGAATCTATTAAAATTTTTTCACTTTTTTTCGACACTTTTTTTTTTTCTTCGTTCGTTCATTCGTTCAGATTTTTTTTTCGTTCATTGTTTTTTTGTTGTCTTCTTTTCCATTTTATTCTTCTTGTATTGGACTGAAAACCTCGCAAGAGAAGCCTTGAGTAGCAGGAAAGGGCTGGGGACTGCGGGTAGTGAAGGAGGGTGTAGGAAAGATGTGGGGATGTCAGTTCGATTTTGGCTGTGATGGAGAAAGTATGTAGGGGAGGGTAAATGGAAAACGGGCATGGGGAGATTGGGCGTTGGGGGGGGGGCGGTGATTGAAGATGAAGAAGGGATTTGTTGTGTTATGCTGTGTGCGCGGTATTTAGCAGAGAGATGTGACGTAATCTCGCCCGGAATACAAAGGACGGAGACAGAGGCAGAGAGAGAGAGAGAGAGACAGAGACAGAGAGAGAGAGAGAGAAAGAGAGAGAGAGACGGACAGACAGACAGACAGACAGACAGACAGACAGAGACAGAGAAAGAGGGAGAGAAGTAAAAGGAGTGAAAAAAAGAGATAGAGGAAGAGATAATTATATAGACAGAGATACAGAAGTATATAGATAAAGAGAGAAAAATACGATTAAAGACAGCAAGAGAAAGAGAGAGAGAAAGAGAGATGAATATATATATATATATATATATATATATATATATATAGAGAGAGAGAGAGAGAGAGAGAGAAAAGAATAGATAAAGGCAGATAACGAAAGAGACAACCTGCTATTTAAAGCGAGAGAGATAAGCAGATAGCTGGAGAAAGAAAGGATTAAAAAAAAAGGAGAGAGGGAAGGGTGGAGAAGGTGGAGGTGAAAGGACAGAGAAAGAGAGATGTAGAAAGAGAGAAGCAAGTATATAATGAGATCGAGAGAGGAGAATATAAAGAGAGAAAACATGATTAAAGAGTAAGAGGAGGTAGAATAGATGAATTAGGAAAGACGAAAACTGTCTGAGAGAGAGAGAGAGAGAGAGAGAGAGAGAGAGGGAGAGAGAGAGAAGGAGAGAGAGAGTAAACAAAATATTGAGTGATGGAAAAAAAGAGTGACTGGCAGGAAAATATATTTGCTAAAAAGTGAAGAAAGTTGAAGCTTGAAATAAAAGACAAATTAAATAAAGAATTGTGACACAAAGAGATTAGTAGAAGAAAGGTGAATCGAAACATTTATGTCGAAAGAAAAATAAACAAAAGAGAAATAGTGTTCAAAAGAGAATGAGTAACTGAGACAGATTTAAGTTCGAAGTGAGGCTGATAGAGAGAAAAGGATCTTAAGGTAAGTCATCGATTATCTAATTGAATTGAAGGTAAAAAAAAACACAGAGAGAGAGAGAGAGAGAGAGAGAGAGAGAGGAGGCGAGCGATAGTTAGAAAGGAAAGGAAAAGAGAGACTGAGAGAAGAATGAGTGTTGAAGACATCGATTATCAAACTGAAATGAAGGCAGACAGAGAGAGAGAGAGAGAGAGAGAGAGAGAGAGAGAGAGAGAGAGAGTGAAGGAAAAGGGAGAGTGGCGGAGAGAAATTTTAAGGTGAGCGAGAGACAGATCTTAAGATTTTCAGTATGATAATGACATGAAAGCAAGAGAAAGAAAGAAAGATGGATCTTAAGTTAAATACATTATGAAATCGAAATGAAGGCATGGCGAGAGAGAGACATAGAGAGACAAAGAGGGGGGAGAGGGAGTGATAGAGTTATAGAGAGAGGGGGAGAGGAGGAGAGTGGCGGAGAGAAATTTAGAGATGAGCGAGAGACAAATCTTAAGAAAAGACATCCAGTATAACATTGAAATGAAAGCATGGGAAAGAGAGAAAAAAAGATGGATCTTAAGTCAAATACATTATGAAATTAACATGAAGGTATGTAGAGAGAGAGAGGAAGAGAGAGAGAGGAAGAGAGAAAGATAGAAAGAGAGAGAAAGGAGAGAGGGAAGGGATGGTGTCGGAGTGAAATTTAGAGATGATTGAGAGACAAATCTTAAGATATGACATTCAGTATCACATTGAAAAGAAAGCATGAAAAAGAGAGAATGAAAGATGGATCTTAAATGCCATAAAGACATATATATGTATGTATATATATATATATATATATATATATATATATATATATAAAGAGAGAGAGAGAGTGAGAGAGAGAGAGAGAAGGAAGGGTTGGTGGAGTGAAATTTAAAGATGAGCGGGAGACAAATATTAAGATAAGACTTTCAGTATCACATTGAAAGGAAAGCATGAAAAAGAGAGAAAGAAAGATGGATCTTAAATGCCATGAAGACATATATATGTATGTAAATATATATATATATATATATATATAGAGAGAGAGAGAGAGGGGGAGAGATAGAGAGAGAGGGAGAGGGAGAGGGAGAGAGAAGGAAGAGTTGGTGGAGTGAAATTTAAAGATGAGCAGGAGACAAATATTAAGATAAGTCTTTCAGTATCACATTGAAATGAAAGCAAAAGAAACAGAGAAAAATGGATCCTCTTTTATTTCATTTGTCTTTTAATTTCTCCATTCTTCCAATATATTTCTTCTTCCTTGTTGCTCTTTTTTCTTCTTAAATTCTTCTTTATTTTATTTTTTGCATCTTTTTCTTCTTTTCTTCCTCCTTTTTTCTTCTTTTCTTTCTTCTTCCCATTTATTTCTTTTTCTTTTTTCTTTTGCATTTTTCTTTGACTTTATTTTCTTCTTCCTTTTCACTTCGTTTTTCTTCTTTTGTTTTTATTTTTCTTCTTTTATCTTCTCACTCTTTTTTTTAGTTATTCTCATTTTTCCTTCTTTTTTTCAGCTTTTTAACTTCCTTTTCTTCTTTTGCTTCTTATTTTTTTGCTTCTTATTTTAATTTTTTTCTTACGTCTTTTGTTTCCTTTCGTTTACTTTTTTCTTGTTCTTCCTTTCTTCTTCTTCTTCTTCTTCTTCTTCTTCTTCTTTTTGTGTCTAATGGCTATCTCATTCATTCATTGAAGAACGAGATACAGAAAGAAATTTGTTGCAATTATTCGTACTTTTTTGTCGTGTTTGTTGCAGGTTATTATATGGAGTAATGGGCGGGGACTAAAGATGACGATGGTGGTGGCGATGTACGCTATAAACGCGGGAAGAGAAAAGAGGCGCGAAGCTTTAAACTATGAAAAAAAAATCAACAAATAAAACTAAGTTGTCATATCAACGCAGAATAAAAGATACGTACGTATGTGTCTGACTGCGCAAGCGCGTGCCTCCATGCAATTTTTGAAGGTGGTATGGCATCTAATAGTTAGTTATTTGCTTTTTGCTTTCTAAAAAGAGTTCATTTTTAAAGTACATTTACACTATAGATGTTTTGCCCAATCTGACACAGGGTCGTGTAAGATTCAGAAGAAGATTATCCTGCGCCAGATTGCTAACTGTAAAACGCGTGCCTACATTCAAAGTCAACATTCAGTGTCTTGATCTTGATCTGTGCTCAAATCTCTACCACTGCTGTCGATGAGAAATATGCAACGCTCTCAGCCAAGAGGCAGATTCAAGTGCATTCAATACATTTTGCTGCACTAAAATATATAGACCAAATAAAAAGCTTTGGGGGGATCATTTTTGTAGATTAGCATCCTTTTAGACCCCAGAATCGAAAAATATTGATTTTTTTTTATCGATTTAGAAGGGTGTCCAGTTTATAAGAACCATATAATGGAAAAGTGATCTCTGATTTTTACAGACTTATAGGACCTAGCTGTTTTGCGTAATAAATCAGACTTTTTAGGGGGCGATTGCAAAAAAGATTTCTTTCAAATAAAAAAAAAAGAAGGGATATATACATCTTATATATAAAGTACTGTGTATGCGTGTGTTTGTGCGTGTGTGCGGCCAAGCGACTCCTTCGCACACACTGATTTCAATGATTCATAGCTCATTCAAAAGCCCTAGAAAAGTTAGACGCAAGGAATGATTTTCATTGAGCTCAGATTCAGGGTTGCCAGATAAAAATATATATTAATATATTATATTAGCCATAATCGTTGCTTTTATGGTTTAAGAGGTGTAACTCATATTTTCCTTTTGTAACCAAAATTGCAGCTAGCTTAAAATTTTAAGCTAGATTAAAAGCCGCCATCTCGGGCAGCATTTAAGCTAGCTCCTGTGGCGGACTCTTGTTTTTGTCCTTCATCACAATACCCAGGGAGGAGTAGATACGGAGAACTCAAGCGGATTATTGCATTTAAGTATTGAATTAGTGTTGAAGCTTACCTTTTAAAAGTTAAACGATAATTCTTCTGTTGCCACTTAATTTAAAGACGATTTGATGTATGTATATCCTTATTTTCCGTACAAACAGGGGACAATTTAAAAGATAAAATTAATATAGTGTAAAGATGGGAAAATAGAAATTAGAATTAGTTATACATTCAACATTTGAAGAGTTAGAGAAACATAATAGCTAATTAAGTAAAACCTATATTATGGAATCTATATGAATAAATGCGAAATTGGAGCTCAATTCTCCCATGAATTCTGAGATTAAAAACCCCAGCTCTACTTTATATTAATTTGTATTTACTCACCACCCCCACACGAGTTCAGGTTGTAACAAGGTCGGTTTAATGTGGGGAGCGCAAGCTCTTACACCCAGGCTAGGAACAAAAATTGCACGAGCTCCCGAAAACGTCGGTTATCCTGGCCTCGCTGCAAAGACCGATCCCTCTCTCCGTGAGAGGGCGCGGTCTCAGGCAGCCGTTTCCCAGGGCCGGCACCTCTCAGTATAATTTTCCTCAGTTGCTGCACTGTCCTTCGACGGAGCCGCCCCTGAGTGCATTCTGTCCAAAGGCAACGTGTTATAAACTACTCGAGAGTAATTTGGTATTTACTCCCCACACCCAGGAGGTCATTTTGCGACACAAGGTCGGTTTAATGTGGGGAGCCCGAGCGCGTACATCCGGGCTAGGAACAAAAATTGCTCGCGGAACTCGCAACCGTCGGTTGAGCGCGTACACCCGGGCTAGGAGCAAAAATTTCCCCTGAGCGCACACTGCCCAAAGACAGAGAGAGATAAGTAAACGTGTTACAAACTACTTTAGATTAATTTGTTTTTAATCACCCCGCCTCCAAGTTGGCGTCTATTTGTAAAACTTTCCTTAATTATAACAAGGCAATTTATGAATGAAATGTTCATTTAAAATTTTTGTTTCAAAGATTTCATGTAGTGAATATATCTTACTTTGCGATTTCAAATTTAATATTTGTAAATACACGTTAAGAATCCTTTTTTCGAAATTCTTGGGACGGGAAGGGCTTCGCTTTAAGATTTTTTCGGACTTTAGAAAAGAGGCTATTTAATGTGTATATAGCATCTATAAAATGAGGCAGCTTGGGAATGGAACCCAAGCATAAATACGATATTCCTATACATTTCATAACACAGCTTACATATATACTGAAGATAGTTTTATATAAATGACATATACCCTGAAAGTAGTTTTATATAAAATGAAATAAATTTTGTGTACATACAGATAGAGATAATAATGCTAGTCATGTAATTCTCACACGGAATTTTAAGTGCTGAAATTAAGATTTTACGTAAAAATAATGTTTTGTACGTTCTGTATGTGTACAAAAAAATCAATACTTACAAAATATATCTAAATACAGGACTATTTGACATTTTGAATAATATCTTTACTGAGCACGAAACACCTGGTAAGTAATCCACGAACGAAAGTGTTGTTGTGACGATCTCTAACAAAAAGAAAAAAAAAACATCTGTCGCCAGCGTAAGGTTACGTAGATGGGCTTCTTAAAATGTTCCATTTGTGACAAATCATGTCATCACCTGAAAAACTTTCAGATTTTGAAGGTTTTCGGATCAGGGAGTTCCGGATAAAGGATTCTCAAACTGTAACATCTAAGTGACTTCGTCTGAATACAGTAAAAGGCTGTGTCTCGATTTGACACAGTAATGATATTATGACCCCTTCTAAATCGATAAAATAATCATTATTTATCGATGATGACACATTTTTTTTTAAATAATGACTCACATCCCCACTGGTATCAACGACGCTTTTAAAGTGACTTAAATCACCTTTCTTTTCCATTTTCTAATTGCATGAAATGAAACTCAGCTGGTCACACTATGACCATGTTTAAATGCCTATCTCCATTAAATTGTTACCCCGTGATTGGCTAATGAGAAATTTGCATAAAAGAGCATTTGTTCAAGTGTGTTTAAAGTTTAAGGCCATCTTCTGAGTGTTGATAGGGTTTGTCATGTTGGCCTTCTTCGTAAGCTTCAGGGATACGGTATTACAGGACGATTTACCAGAAACTAATTTACTAGCTCACTTCCTGCCAGAGGGTATATCTCTTATGGGAGGGTTTTAACATATATTCAATAATAATAATAACAATAATAATAATAACCGGACCCATCAGTGGCTACGTAGTGTAGTGCAGGGTTAAAAGCTGAAACTGAAGGGCTTATTCTTGCTACATAGAACCAATACTTTTTTTTCAAGCATTTCACCCCAAGCAAGGCGGGAGTGCCACTAACACGCAACAGTTACAGAGAGTGAGAGCAAGAGTAAAGAAGGGTATTTGAGGAAAGGATATAGAGAAGGACGGTAATCAGTATCAAGGGATCAGAAGGTGTCAATTGACATTACATTTGAAGATTATAGCTATCAAGGAAGCAAGTAAGAGGAAAGGAGTTACGCTGTCGGGAAGTGCAAGAGAAGAAGCTGTTGGAGTAGAAGAGACGGTTACATTTAACCGTTTCGACAGTGAAAGGATTGGAGCGAGATGTCAGCCTAGTAGTATGCTTAAATTCATGCAGTCTAGGCGCCTGTGAAAGTAGTTCGTCAGAACAGTTGCCATGAAAATATTTGTAGAAAAAACAGAGGGAAGCCATATCAAGTCTGTGAGAAAGTGACTGTAGATTGGATATGCAATGTGATAGATCAGGATCTATCACATTGCATATCCGTCTCTGGATTTTGTCGAGATGAACAGCGAGAGAACCAGACCATATATGGCAAAAGTATTCAATGCCAACACGAATGGTAGATTTGTAGATTTGAAGGAAGGAATCAGGTGAGAAAAACCTTCTGGCAGATGCAGCAGTTTCCTTGGTTCAATATGATTATTTCACCTCAGGTCAGTAAATAGCAGTGTCGTCTGCGTAGAAGCCTACTTGGGAATTGATGACATCAGGAAGATCGTTGAGCAAGATCAGAAACAGTGATAGAACCTTGGGGAACACCAGCGTTCGTATCAAAGGAACTGGACGGGAACCCGTTAAGGACGACATTCATTTCACGGTTTGACAGGATTGATTGAATTAAGTCAAATAATCGTCCTGTCATACCGTATCCCTGAAGATTACGAATAAGGCCGGAATGCCAAACCCTATCAAACGCTGTAGAGATATCTAGAGCCACAGCTCGCGCTTCGCCGTTATTATCAAGAGCTTGGTATACAAATTCAGTTATGGCCGTGAAAACGTCAGCAGTAGACCGGGCAAAGCGGAAACCATATTGTTTGTCAGAGAGTAGATCATGGGAGTTAAGATGCTTAACAACTTCGGCGTTGAATAAGCTCTATACTAAACATTAAATCTGTTACGAAAAAAGAACTAAACAAAATGAACACAAAACGATCAGCTTTAAAAAAAGGACTCGTAACTGGAAAAAACGAATGAAAAAAGAATGTTAACAACAAATACTTTTTCACATCCAACCCAGTTCTGCGGAATCAGAATCAACGTTGAGTTTAAGCAAGCGAATTAGCCAATTAGAGTAAAGTGCCATGCAGATTTAAATTTTTCCCACTTGTGACGAATGCAGCTATCGATTTTTTGCATATTAGTTAACATTCGTGTCAGTCAGCTGTTGGCTCTCATGCTGGCCAGTAGAATCTTCCCACCTATTCGTGGCAGCCAGCTATAGGCTCTCACTCTGGCCAGTAGAAAATGACCGCAAACTACATGAAAACTGCCGTAGAAGCATGAAAAATCGATTATTTCCACTATCGATGGGAGTTGGGAAATGCAAAGTCGGTCTTGGCCTTTACCGCTAACTTGGAGCATGTGCATGTAAATTTTGGTGCAAATCCGTCTAAAATTGCGGCCGTGCATTCGTTACACACACACACACACACACACACACACACACACACACACACACACACACACACACACACACACACACACACACACACACACACACATCCTGCCTTTTATAGATAGAGATAGTGAAAATCGGCCTGTTGCTTTGAACATCTGGAAGACATTTGACAGGGTTTGGTATACGGGTCCTCTTCACAAGAACGGTTATAGTATTTCTTGAGGAACTTTTGAACTCTGTCCTCCAGGGTTCTATCTTTGGATCTGCGTTGTTTCTAATTGACCTCTGCTCGTAACGATATATATATATATATATATATATATATATATATATATATATATATATATATATATACTAATGACCGTCTTGTTGGCATCAGCTCTCAACTCAGAATCTATGTTGATTAGACACCTATTTATTCCTGTCTTAATGGTAAGTTTGATCGGTTCGATAAAGTCGGATTGGGAGCTGATCTAAAAAAAATCTGCTGTTATCTGAGGCAAAGAATGGCTTGCTAATTTTAAGGCTTCCAACACAAAACTTTTATCTATCAATCATCTGAGAGACACGATACTAGCTTTCATCAGCATGGCTGCTGCTAGCATCCAGGAGATTGACTTGTTGTGCCTTCTCGGTCTAACGTTCTCTGCTGACATGAAATGGAAAGATTTTATTGAATTAATTACTACGAGGAAAATTGTTCACTGTCTCGTGCAAAGTAATTTTTTCTTCAGGCTCTATCTTACATATTTATAAGTCTACCATTCGTCAATGCTTCAAATATTGCTACTACATATGGTCTGGTGCTCTTACTATATATTTAGAGATTCTTGATAAAATCAAAAGAAGAATATGCAATATTATTGATACTGACATGGCACCCCGGCTTCAGTCACATTTCCATCGCCGTTCTGTAGCTTCCCTGAGTTTTTTCTATAAATATTATCATGATAATTGTTCTGATGGTACCTAGACTTTTATACATGGTACCTAGACTTGTAGCGCAGTACTAGATTGGCAACAAGGACTCATTTTACAATTGAATTGGCTTGATGTAACCGTAAGTTCTTCGCAAATAGTTTTTCATCGTTCTTCTCGCCTGTGAAGGTCTATTCCGGTTTCTTGCTTTCCAGCCAAATTTCATCTTCAAAAGTTTAAATGTAACCTCAATCGTTATCTACTGTCTCCTTGATTACTGTTTCTTTATTGTTCTCTCTCCTGAATAATAATTTTCTTTTTTTATTCTTTTACACCCAGTAATCCCTTATTAACTAGGGTCGAAATGATTAAAATTAGTATATATATATTTATATCGTTACGAGCAGAGACAAACAGATTATTTTAGTTAAGCAGTGTCGAACCCGGTCAGTACTTAGGTGGGGTCTACTTGACAACACTGGGTACATTAAGCAACCTTCTACGATCCGAAATATTTCTCGGTTTTAAATAACCCACAAAGGGTTGATAAGCCATAAAAATTAAATCTATCTATCTATCTATCTATCTATCTATCTATCTATCTATCATAGTTAAGCAGCGTCGAGCCCGGTCAGTACTTAGATGGGGTCTACTTGACAACACTGGGTACAGTAAGCAACCTTCTACGATCCGAAATATTTCTCGGTTTTAAATAACCCACAAAGGGTTGATAAGCCATAAAAAAAATAAATCTATCTATCTATCTATCTATCTATCTATCTATCTATCTATCTATCTATCTATATAGTTAAGCAGCGTCGAGCCTGGTCAGTACTTAGATGGGGTCTACTTGACAACACTGGGTACAGTAAGCAACCTTCTACGATCCGAAATATTTCTCGGTTTTAAATAACCCACAAAGGGTTGATAAGCCATAAAAAATAAATCTATCTATCTATCTATCTATCTATCTATCTATCTATCTATCTATCATAGTTAAGCAGCGTCGAGCCTGGTCAGTACTTAGATGGGGTCTACTTGACAACACTGGGTACAGTAAGCAACCTTCTACGATCCGAAATATTTCTCGGTTTTAAATAACCCACAAAGGGTTGATAAGCCATAAAAATTAAATCTATCTATCTATCTATCTATCTATCTATCTATCTATCTATCTATCTATCTATCTATCTAAGTCTCTTCAAATCTATCTATTAAATAGATAGATAGATTATCTATCTATCTATCTATCTATCTATCTATCTATCTATCTATCTATCTATCTGTTTAAAAAGCATCCCTTTATTCATGACTTCATTTTAATCAAATACAATGCACTGCGCCGCTTGTCTGTCTCAATCCGCCAATTTGCTTCCATGATCATCCGCAATTTGCACGTTGCTTACACGTAAGTGTTTCCTTACAAACAAGTCCCATTTTCAAGAAGAAAATCGAAGACGAAAATGGAATAAAAAAAATCGTTTCTAATTCACAACGTTTTGACAGGGAGTTTCTTCTTTTTATTTACTCATTTTAAGTAATTGGTTTGTTTTAATTTAAAAAATAAACAGTGGAAAGAAAGAACGAACAAAGGATGTTGTTTTACAAAAGCAGTAGGTAGATGTTCACCTTCACAATGTTTCTTTATTTAGAATTTAAACGATTTCAAAGCAAAAGTTTCCTAAAAGAAAAAAAAACGGAACGAAAGAAAAGAGTGAGAGTGTTTGTGTGTGTGCGCGCGTTTGTATGCGTGTGCGTGTGTGTGTGTGTGAGAGAGAGAGAGAGAGAGAGAGGAAAAGAGAGAGAGAGAGGAAAAGAGAGAGCAGTAGAACGTGACAAAGAAGAAGAAGAAGAAGAAGAAGAAGAAGAAGAAGAAGAAGAAAAAGAAAAAGATAAAAGATAATAAATCGAAGATAAAAAAAAAGAAGGAAATGCTCCTAGTAGGACGATCTTCTGGGTAACTTGTATGTTGATGTTACCTGGGACACTGTTAGTGAAATTGTCCATTCCTTTTCTCACGAGGCCTAGTGCTCTGATTACTATTGGTACAGTCTCAGTCTTCATTCCCTACATCCTGTTAATCTCAATGTCCAGGTTCTTGTATTTGGGCAATTTTTCAAGAGAAGAAGGATTATTATTATTATTTTTATTTTTTTTATTTTCTTTGATTTCTGGCGTTTACACATTTCTTTCCAGGTCCCGCCTAGGGACCTAAGGTTAGAAATGGCATCATGACACTTTCCACTGACAAAAAAAAAAAAAAAAATTCCATAGATAAAGTCCTTCGTAAAGTGTGGGCTGTACTTGTCAGACTACGATGGTTATAGGGATTATTATTAATATGATTATTATGGTTATATTGATTATTATGATGATTATTATTATCATTATTATTATTATTATAATTATTAATATGATTATTATTATGATGATGATTATTATTGAATTTGATATCCTCTCTAATTACGCATTCATTTTAAATTTTATATGTTTAAAATAGCAGGGATGTAAATTTAAACAATTATAGTAATACAAGAAATATCTTCCACATAATGCTAAGAAATTAGCTAGATGAAGGCGCCATTGGCACTTGCCTAAGTTCCCTATCAACACACAGGTGAGAGTTTAAAATGTGTAAAGTATTTCCGCCGCACCCTGTATGTAGCTAAAGTCTTACCATTATGTGGCAGCACCGATTCCAACGCATTGAAGCCGATATCCAGCACCCGACATAATCCTTTCGTCGTAATGCCAAAAACATCAGACAAACATTTGTGCGGCATCTCTAGGTTTCAGTTTGCATCTACGTACAAAGAATTATGCCTCATCTGCTAATGGCGGAACATTATCCCTTTTGGCTGTTGTTATATAAAAATAAAGTGTCGCTGCCGACACTGGAATTTGAACACAGTTCGCCAGAGAGTAAACATAGGCGATCTCATTTTGAATAAGTAGATGGTAAATGAAATGTATATATGGGAATTAGCGTGGCGTCTAATTGATCACGGTACGGATTACTATTCGGATCACTATTCGCTGGTTATTATTCGAGCGAGTATTCTCGAGCAAGTACTAAGCTTGAGGAATCGGAGTGCCGAGTTCGAATTCCATTCGAACATTTACTTGCGTGCTAATACCCATGGGAAAAGTATAAATCGTCTTCTTCTCCCCCCAGCTATGGGTAAATAGCAGGGGTGACCAGGTTCTATAACGTTGGATGGCAACTAGTCTACCGCAGAAAGAAATGGCAACCTTGTTATACTACCTATTCTGTTGTAATGGATTTTCCCATAGATAATAAGTAGGAGTAGCAGTGGCAAGTCTTGCAGAATGGCGACTCGCGGTCTCTGACTGCGTACGCCTCCTGTCTAACTCTCTGCGTTAGCAGAGAGGAACCCGGACGAGGCTTTGCCGAAGGGCAAGGTTTCGTCCGGGGAGGTAGACAGGGCCTGAACCCGACTAATCGGCTTCAAAGGCTATTTTTTTGGCCGAGCCTACGGGCTCAGGGATACCCACAATAAAACCGGCCTTGTGCCATATTCGTTTCCCGTGGGTGAAATGATAAATACCGAATGGCGTCTCGCGGTCTCTGACTGCGCACGCCTCCTGTCGAACTTCTCTGCGTTAGCAGAGAGGAACCGGACGAGGCTTTGCCAAAGGGCAAGGTTTCGTCCGGGAGGTAGACTGGGGCCTGAACCCGTCTAGGCGGGTTCAAAGGCTATATTTTTGGCCGGGCCTACGGGCTCGGGGATACCCACATTAAAACCGGCCTTGTGCCATATTCGGTCCTCGTGGACGATAAATACTGAATGGTGTTGAGCGCGTCAGTCGAGATTCGGACATTTGAAGTACCAACCATCACAACTAGATTTGCTGCGTCATTGACTCTTATTTTCCAAGTTCCTAACGTTTTGTACGTCGGACCTAATTTAGGACGACTTATTAGAAATACAAGCCTCCACTGTGAAAATACTCCACAACAAACCTGATGCGGGAAAAAATCTGCCTCGTCAGTCATGCATCGAAAGATACATTATTGCCGAAGTGTGTATGACGCATGGCGCATAACTGACTGTTGATATTCAAAGGCCTCTGACACCAGCATTGTTCAAACTGCGCTATTATAGCTGTATCTGCGATTACAAAGTCTCTACTACAACGAGCATTGCGAAAATGACAACGAATATTCGTTGACTTTACATAAGTGGCAACGAATGTTCATTAACATCACAAAAGCTGTACAGGCCTACGTGGGAGTAACAGTTTTGCTTGCAACGAATGCATGTGACTTTTTTTTTCTGTCGAGCACGCTTCTCTCCGGCAGCAAGCTGTATTTCCTCGATCCAGCTCTCTGTGTAAATCGCATCCCCCCAGCGTGAGCGATCGTTGGTGACGTCTGCCCACCTCTCGATATCTATGTTCATCGTCTTCATGTCACTTTTGCAGACGTCCTTGAAGCGGAGATGAGGTCGCCCTCGTGTCCTCTTGCCGATGGCCAGTTCCCAGTACAGAAGGATTTTAGGAAACCTCCCATCCGGCATACGGTGTACATGTCCAAGCCAGAAGAGCCGGCGCTGTTGGAGAATGGCGTATAGGCTGGGTAACTGGACACGGGTCAGAACTATGGCATTGGTGACCCGGTCGATGCCCATAACATTTAACAAAATCTATACTTATGAAAGGCAGGATGTGTGTGTGTGTGTGTGTAGCGAATGCACGGCCGCAATTTTCGACGGATTTGCATTAAAATTTACATGCACATGCTCCAAGTTAGCGGTAAAGGCCAAGACCGACTTTACCTTTCCCAACTCCCATCGATAGTGGAAATAATCGATTTTTTCATGCTTCTACGGCAGTTTTCATGTAGTTTGCTGCCATTTTGTACTGACAAGTGAGAGCCAATAGCTGGCTGCCACGAATAGGCAGGAAGATTCTATTGGCCAGCGTGAGAGCCAACAGCTGACTGACACGAATGTTAAGTAGCATGCAAAAAAATAAATCGATAGCTGCATTCGTCACAAGTGGGAAAATTTTAAATTTGCATGGCACTTTACTCCAATTGGCTCATTCGCTTGCTTAAACTCAACGTTGATTCTGATTCTACAGAACTGGGTTGGGTGTGAACATTTTGTTAACATTCTTTTTTCATTCGGTTTTCCAGTTACGATTCTTTTTTTTTTTAAAGCTGATCGTTTTGTGTTCATTTTGTTTAGTAATTTTTTCGTAACAGATTTAATGTTTAGTATAGAGCTTAGAAAAATTCGCAGTGTGAGATAGGCAAGAAGTAAGGCAACATCAGCACGGCAAAGGGCACTTCCTTGGGGGCAAGGAAAGGCAAAAATATTTTAAGTCAAGTGATAGCGATTGCTGTATGAGTCGTACGATATTTAAATCAAGCACCGGCAACGCTGGGCCATGCTGCTATAGTATATGATAAAAGTATTGCCTCCCTTGCCTCGGTAATCAGTTACGTAACAATTTGTTCTGGATTATTTTATTTAATCATTTTTTATAGTTTCTTAGAAGACTACAGTGCACACTGACTGTTATTTTGCTCCATTTCTCCATAGCATTTTTCCTTCAAACTCGATGGCTTTCTGTCTTCTATTGTTTTCTTCAAATAGGTCCATACATTTTCAATGTGGTTTAGGTTAGGATTTATTACGGGGTACGACAATACATCATTTTGCTGTCATTTAAGTACGAGGGTCTTTCAAAATTTTCCAAGCCTTACGCAGAAGGAGTTGGAGAAACAAGACAGTTTTTAATTATTTTTCAATATAGTCCGTCTTGATATCAACGCACTTGGTCCAACGATGTTTAAGCATTGCAATCCCATCACGAAAGATGGTGGTGTCCTGGTCTCTTCCCTCTCCCCACAAAAAAGAACATCACAGCACGTAGGATCTCATCATTGTTTCAAAATGGCGACCACGCAGGTGGGATTTGAGTTTAGGAAACAGGAAGAAATTAGATGGAGCTAAGTCTGTTGAGTAAGGAAGATGGGGTAGTAATTCAAAGGCACAGTTTGCTGCTTCATCTATTGCAATGTGACCGGGCGCATTATCCTGGAAAAAAAGCACACCTGACCTCAGCTTTCCTCTGCGTTTCGACTTGATTTCTTCCTTCAGTTGTGTTAATTCTGATACATAGATCTACCTATAAATAGTTTTGAACTTTTCCATGTAGTTTATCATGATTTTCCCGCCTTCAGAATCGCCAAAACGCCATCACCTTGCCAACAGACGCTTTCTGCTTGAAGTTTAGGGTAGAGACCCAGAGTGTGTCCACTATTTTCTTTGAATCTTTGATTCATCTTCAAAGTGGTGAACCCAGGTTTCATCTTGAGTTACTAATCTGTGCTGGAATTTCTCAGGGATCAGACTGAAAGCCGGTCAGAAGAGTCCTAGAAATGTCAACCCATTTTAGCTTCTGCTTTGCTGTCAGCATTCTTGGGAACAATCTTGTAGACAGCTTTCTCATCCACAAGATCTCGGTAAAAACAGTATGGACCGAACCAGAACTAATGTACATGGACTTAGCTATGTGCTGGAGAGTAAAATGGCTGTTATCCAAAACCATACGGTGAATGGTACCAACTTGTTCATTAGTGGTTGAGGTTTTCCGCAGCCCACTTTACAGTTTCATAGGAAGGGGAGTCCTTAGCAAGTATCTGTACCCTGTCCTCTTTGATTTCCTTGGGTGTCATACCATTTATTTCGGATATTTTATGACAGCCCGGGCATCTGTTTTGTCCATTTTTAGATTTGTCGCACACCTCTCACCTTTGTATGGGCCTCACCTACACAAAAATTAAGACAAATCTGAATTAGTTTTTCTAGTTTTATAAAAGTGGTAGTTTGTTGCCATAACGAAAATAGCTCTTTATTTGGATGAAGCTTAGAACTTTTTGAACAACCCTCGTATTTCGTAACAATTCGTGCGGCGTGTTTTGGGTCGTTGGCAAGTTGAAACGTCCAGTGAAGCCTCAAAGACAATACACAAATACCGCCTTTTATCCCTGATAGCCTCTACTCCCATTAATTCTCCTGGTCCAGAAGCTGTGAAACATCCCCATAGCATAATGCTCCCAACGCCTTAATTGTAGGGAGGGTATTTTTTTAGTTTCTGGCCTTCATTTGATTAATTCCGTACATATAACGGGAGTTTCTAGTTTGGTATCATTTGACAATGAAACAGAGTACCAATATTTACTTAAATGTTCTAGATGGCTTCTTTCATAAGCTAATCTGCATTTTAGGTGTTTATCTTTGAGCTTTCCCTGGACAACAGTCCTGCTCAATGAAGGCATTTGGTGACTTTATCGATAAATTCAAATCTGCTGTTTGTTCTTCATTGACAATGTTCTTTGTCGTTAAGTGAGGATTCTACGAGACATCTCTAACAATTTCCCTTTTTATTCTCTCCGAAATTAACCGTTTTCTGCCAGCCTGAACTTGTACTCAACACAATGAGTCTCGTTGTACTTCTTGATAATGCTACGAATTGTCAATCTGCGAAGATTAAAACGCTTGCATAGTGCTGAATATCCACAAAATTTTGCTTGTATACATCAACTACCTTCATTCAGAGCTTGTCAGTCTTGGCCATAGTTACAGAACGAATTAATTATCGCGGAACGTGGTACTCACATATTGTCTTTTACATAACTTAGAACGTAGATCAATACTACAGGATGTCCCACAAAAAAACAAAAAAAAAAAAAAAACAAAAAACAAAACAAAAAAAGAAGCAATTTAGTACAGTTTATTGAATTGTTGGATTTTTTGTTATAATTATTTGAAACAAAAGCAAACGATAGAAATTTAGTAGTTTAAAACAACAGAAATACAAATGTTAGATGTACAAACTAAAGAATTCTGGCAAAATTTCTTTCAGTCCCCAAGTTAGATGTTCTTTCTTAAAGAACCTCGCGTTGAAAATTTGCTAACTGCGGGATCCTGGAACAACAAATGGTTTAAAAATTATATTTTTGTTAATCATTTTAGTTCATTTATATCGAAAAAATATATAGTTAATTCTTTATATGTTATTTCATTCTTTTCATCATATAGTAAATCTAAAATTTCATGTTTTTTATGGGGTACCTTATGTTTCATTTTCGAAGTGTTCTTTTTTTAAATGTCAAATTAAGAAAAAAAATATACTATTCTCATAGGGCAATATTATTTCATAATTTCCATAAGCGGGCGTCATTTTAGACAGCATAAATTTTTAGAGAAATCAATAACTATGAATATAATAGATTGAAACTTCTAAAATTAACGAATTATTCAAAACTAAATGCGGAATCAACAATCTATGCAAATTCACTTGCAAATAACCACTGTCATCAGCTATATATATATATATATATATATATATATATATATTAGAAATGGACGAGGTCAAACAAATATTCGTGTTTAACGTTGTTATTTTTATAGATACAAATTTAAGCAAATGCTCTGTTTATTCAGTATTAAATAACATTTACCGGCCTGAATGCGAAAATAGAAAAATCGTTCATGTCATCGGAACCGCCATATATATATATATATATATATATATATATATACAAATATATATATATATTTATTTATTCATTTTTATTTATGTTTAATTATTTTTTCATACAATGTTTAAGCAAAATGAACGAATATTTTCTATGAAAATACAAAGGTTAATGATTTAATTGGCATTTGCTTAAAGTATCTATAAAAACTAAAATCCATTGTTTATATATATATAACAATTCAAATTAATATACAAAAACCCAAAGGTTAATGATTTAATTGGCAGAAACCTGTTTATTCAAATAAATGAAAAATGATCCTTGTTTCTATAAATTTCTGTTGCATAAGTTCTTATTATTTTTACAAGCTTTCGTCTGTTCCTACAGACATCCTCATCTATGGAATAGATTTTGTTCTTGTTTTTTACTCTCAGTAATAAGAGGACAACGAAAATATATGTATTGTTGTAATCCGAAAAATGCTATTAGAAATGAGTTATTTTTTTTTGGGCGTGCTGTCGCAACTTTGAGTTTAATTTAAATTTTACAATTGTGCGTTCTTGTACAAATATGGTGATAAGTGAATTCTTTTTTACTGGTAAATTTTCTGTCAAAGTGGCATGAACTTTATTGTTCAATAATTACAGTAATATATATATATATATATATATATATATATATATATATATATATATATATATATTATAAACTGTTACATTGGTGCATGTAAGTTACCGCGACAAAAATATATATTTGTTTCGATGTCCAAAGACATCTCGTCAGGCAACTAACAATGGTGGTAATAAATATTGCTAAACTCTCGTATTGGGCCTGTTTTTAAATTATGTTATAAACGTTTGAATTTATATTGTTTTCGTTATTTTACATTTGGAAACACGATAGAGTAATAGATTGAGGAATCCAGTCGAATGCTAATACACTTGGGAAACGTATAAATCTATTTCTTCTTCCAGCTATGGGTAAATAGCAGAAAAGACTGGGTTCTACAGCCTTGGATGGTAAATGGCCTAGGAGAAGAAAAATTCTGAATTTAATGCAGCTTGGAGTCACGCTGTTGCACAATATGTGGTCTTGAATTCAAGTCACTAGCGAGTCTGAAATACCACAACGAAATCGACAGGAAAGTACAACATATATATATATATATATATATATATATATATATATATATATATATATATATATATATATGTGTGTATGTATGATACAGGAAACGGAAATATCATATGGTAAGTACATCATATATATATATATATATATATATATACAGTGTAACCGGATATAAGAGAGTTGTCGGGACCGGAGAAAAGTCTCTTATATCCGGGTTTCTCTTATATCCAGGTTTGGTCTATTTTATATACATTAACACAGGTTCTAATTTGGGACCAGAGAAAATCTCTATTATATCCGCGTTTCTCTTATATCAGGTTACACTATATGTGTATATATATATATATATATATATATATATATATATATATATATATATGTGTGTGTGTCTGTGTAGGTATGAATATCGAATATCAACATCGCAGTTTTCTACTTCCTAATATTTCTATAATTATTTTCCACCTAAGTTTCTTCATATCTATCTATCTATCTATCTATCTATCTATCTATCTATCTATCTATCTATCTATCTAATGTAATATATATATACCTATCGTTTGTTTATACATATTTCTTAAATTGCATTGATATGTAGAGAGAAGGCCCCCGCAAACTGAGATAGATAGATAGATATTTAGTCAGTGAGTCAGTGAGTGGTTGTATGAAGGGGCAAGGAAATAAAGATAAAGAAAAGAAGGAACAAATAACAAGAACTGCAATTAATGAAAATGGAATGATCTTAATCTTGAAAAGATTCCCTGCCCCATGTCTTCTTATTCAGAACTGATCTGTATTCACTCGATCTTACTAGTCACATTTTAAAAACAAGGAAACCTTCGCAAATTTTTTAATAACCTTTTTCTTTTAATGCGCAATATTTTTTTCTAATGGAAGAGTAACAAGCAAACAGGCGGCAGGCAATCTGTTGAAGTTTTACAAAAGGATGCCGGTTAGATTGACGCCATATTGAAAATTAGTCGACGCCTACTGCCGAAGTGTCTTGAAAAGTCGAGACAAGATCAAAGAAGATTTGTTCGCGAATTTTCTTCTTGCTGTTTTCATTGAACGCATGAAAAAAAGTCATCTTTGTTGCGTACGTTGACTGATTTGGCATTTCGCTATGTCAAAATATGGCTCCAACTTCCTTTCATTTACACTGCTGAAAAGAAGAGGAAAAAGAAAAATGTTCGTATTTTTGTTGTATTGCAGTAGTACTATGTCTCTTTGTGTGTTCAACCGTTTCAAGTGTATTTTTAATTAATAATATCCTCCCTTTCTTCAGCAGGAAAAATGAATGTAAATTCGGTCACCAGATTATTTAAAATTAAATATTTTACCAATATAATTGCATTTTGAAATGTAATAATATAAAAAACAATCTTAATATGTGTAAAATGGGAAATACTAAAAGTTTCAAGCCTGGTAAATGTTCTTGCGATCCGTGGTATCATTTCCTATTCTCTTCGTTGGTAAATGACCTCGTGACACGAACATAGGCATTTCACCGCCTCTATCTTGGTAAATCTCATTGTGGTACAATGGCATACACTTAACCTTCTCTATGTTGTCAATTATCCTTGTGACACGGTGATATGCATTTCACCGCGTACATGCAAGTAACTATCCCTTTAACCTGATGCTATGCATTTAACTTTCTCTATGTTGGTAAATGTCCTAATGACAATGATATACATTTCAGTCCTTCTATGTTGCTAATTGTCCATGTAACACGATATGTATTTCAGCCAGTCTATGTTGGCAATTATGCTTGTGACACGATGATATGCATTTAAGCCCTTTTATGTTCGTAATTATCCTCGTGACACGATTATATGCATTTCAGCCCTTCTATGTTGGTAATTGTCCTTGTGACACAATGATATGCATTTCAGCCCTTCTATGTTGGTAATTGTTCTTTTAACACGATGATATGCATTTAAGCCCTTCTATGTTGGTAATTATCCTTGTGACACGATTATATGCATTTCAGCCCTTCTATGTTGGTAATTGTCCTT